CTTGAGGAATAAATACTTAAGTCTCTGTAGCTAACCACTTGAAATGTTGATTTCAGTTTTGGCAGCTTTTTATTAATCCGCATTACGCTACACACTAAGAAACACTGGTGCAAAGAAGTGACTGCTATCTACTCGTTCGTTGTTTTATACACAAAGTCACCTTGTTTCCATACATAACTCTAAGCCAATCAAAAACACAAAGTTTTGAATGCTTTTAGTTTTAAGAGAAAAAAATGTGTTTGAAAATAAGTTGTCTATTAAGTGAAACATGATATTGCAAGATTTCTTTATGTATCAGAATTTAAACATTTATTTACTGATACGCATTTAAAAAAAGAAACAAAAGTTAATAAAGCAGGATTTAATTCATTCATCAAATTTCGGTGAAACTCTTCAGCTTGATACTCTACATACAGGGGCATAAAGTTAACATACAATGCATTAGGGTTCAATTTCATCACTTTACTAAACAATTAGTTATCAGTAAGTGAAAGGACTTCACTTAGCTTGGAGTTTGTATTGGCTATAAAAGAAAGGTATTTTGCTGACAGGATTAATGAAGCTCATTACGGATTCGTCAAATTTTTATCGTCAGTGGTGCAGACATGACATACAGATACTAATCTAAAGGGTGAATGTGCTGCGCAGGAATTACTGCTGTCTTAATGGCATTGACGAAAGACTAATGAATAGTGAAGTTATGAAAATATTGAGGAGTCTTTGATTACAAATGCCCTTCTCGTGTTAGGGGGAGCAGAATCATTGTTGTGAAAAGGTCAGTTAAGCTAGATGAACAGGTTAACTAACAAACATGCAAAACTACTGGCTTTCTTGACAAGAATACTACCTAAAGTATAATTAATTCCGAAAAAACTTAAAGGTGGTCAGACCCCAAAATGACATCAGTTGATGCGGTTATTCACTACTGGTCTAAACCAATATGAGAAAGAATTAATTTCCTGGTTGGGGTCCTAAAATTCTCGAAAAATCAGTGGTTGAAGGCTCTTTGTGACAAGATGCACAATAATCCATAATGTTACCGATATGCATACGCTAATGTCGCCTTCCTAATCCTCAGTAATTTCATCAACTTTCATTTTCTGCTACCATCGCTGACACTTCTGTCTGGTGTTCTTCTAAGAGTGAATTCCTTAGATGTGGAAGTTTGGAACGGTGCGCTCCTATGCAAATTTCTTTCATTTATAAGTTTGTCAGACAGTAAAAAATATACTGTGAGATCAATTTAGGCATTTAACGTTTCAACTGACATTACTGCACCTAAGTATACAAAGTTATCAGTAACAAAAGTGGGGGAATATATGAAAACTGAGAAGTCAAACAGAGATACTGGTGCAGGAAAAAAAAATCATATACACAACAACAAGCATTAGATTAATGGGTGAAAAATGGATCAGTATTTTAGACTTTGATAGTCATATCGGTGATTGAACAAACTATTCACGAATAATCGTCATCCAGACATTAATGTGCGTCGGTGGCACAGTGGTTAGGACACTCCCCGACCATGCACATGGTCTGGGGTTCGATCCCCTGCCGACGCACACCTGATATCTATGGTCGACCTGCGAAATTTGGGCTACCGATATCCGTGCTGAAAATTCCATACTTGTACCAAAAATACAGTTTGGAATCAAGCTGTAATAAAAAAAATGAAAAGAAAACATGTAGTTCAGCGAAGAAGCCTTTCTCAGCCAATCCCTCTTCTTTAGCAGTACAATCAAATTTATATATAATTTTTCAGGAAAGAGGGAAGTAACGAAAGTGATGAATTGTCAGAAACATAGTTGTTAATATTATTTAGTGCATAAGAAGAGTTGAATAAGTGTTTTAGAGTTGCATAATAAAATGGGTAATATAATGAATGAGTTGTGGTCACGATGCATGTAGGGAAGATGAGAAGAATGGAATTATGTAAGGGTTCTCGAGAAATGAAAGAATTATAATGAATTAAAAAAGCAAATAATGAAAATATTAAGTTAGTAGAAATCAACAGGTTTGTTATCATGATAGTATGTAGAGTCCCAGTTTCTCCTGACAAACAGCTAAGGCTTCAGCAGTGTAAAAGAGACGAAAGCCTATTGTCTTTGGCAGGTTATTCCTTACTTTGCAGATAACTTTGAAGGTGTTTTGTTGCATGGAATGATCAGTGTTGACAAGATGTTCAGTTATCGCGCTTCTTTTAGAGCCATTACAGTCTTTCTGCAACCAAACTCAATAGTCTCCTCAGTGTGTATTCGATCCACCTCCAGTTTCTTCAGAATGTTTATTGAGCGATAGGTTCGTGATTGATTCGTTCCAAAAGTTTCTTATTGTTATTCTTTCTTGGCTGGCTACTTGGTATTCATTATGGAGCCAGTAAAGACAGCTGTTGATAAAAGTTTGCAGCAGACTGTTGAAAATGCAGTCAGTTTTTCGACCCGTATAGAAGAACTGACCTAAGACTGTTGTTGAAAGTCCGAATCTTTTTCTCTACTCTAATTAAAGAGTGATAAAAGTCTGTGACGCCTCCGCTCTTGAGTGGCTTTGACATTCTCCCACATGCTGTAACCTGTTGTAGAAATGATAGTTATTGGCGCTTGCCTTCCTCACCTTTGACGTCTCTGTGTTTACGCAAAGTTCTGTTTTGCTACCAATTCTGCCAACTTGCTGGTTTTCGTCTGTAAGTCATCGAATTTAGATTACATTAGGCAGCAATGCCATTATATAATAATAAATAATAGGTTGCAAATCTGTATTAAAAAGCTAAATACTCCTACAAAGAACCAAATATGGACATGAGATTTTCTATGGCATGACATGTACTTGTATATCCTGTAAGAGAGAAATAGTTACTACACTCATGGAGAATTGCAAAACCTCATTTCATCTTAAAGTCAGTGTTGAAGATGTTGTTTAAGACGACAATGAAGACTCTGTAATTCAACTGTTCAGTTCAGGGGACATAAATACACCAAAATCGCCTATGGACTTTAATTCATTATCAATTATAAGGATAGAGACAGAACATATAAAACACATAATTGTGGTTGAGATACTGCTAATATACAATGTAAGTAGATGACTAGATAAAGAATGCATTCTTGAGAAAGCGTATACCATATATATTCAACTTAACCTTTAAATCACTTGCTTCATTTTTCATGCAATTTCCTAAAAATTATTTATACAGAAACGTATTTTAAACAAAACTAATGGCAGTGTAGATTATGTCACAAATCAGTATCGTTCAGGAAATCACCGGAAACTTAGAAGCACTGGACAGCTATCTTGTTCTAGTTCTGAACTTGTAAGCAGCCCACATCTATGACTCCAATAAGGATTGAAACTAAGACCTTCAAGTTACAAGGCCAGGCCACTGACCATTTAACCACTGGGTTCAAATTCATTAACCTGTGAATTATGACTTCTTTCAACTGGCGACATATCGCTTCCACCAACACCAGTATCATTAATCCCTAGTGGGGTCATAGACAAAAACTGCTAAAGAGTCGAAAAGTAGGACAAAACAGCTGTCTAGTTCTTCTTGGTTTTCAATGATTCCCTAATTTATGTTAGTTCACAACGTAACCTGTACTAAAATTAATCCAATTCTCTACAAAATCCATGATTTAAAAATTAATATTGTTAATAACAAAAATAAAAATGAGATTTGAAACTGCTGAAATTGATAATATCTAAAAAGTTAATTATATTACAATTGAAGAGACAAATAAAGATATAAGTGAACGATAGATGATCTATGTGAATTATTTTTAATAATCTTTCTAAAATACATAGACTTCTATATTGTATTATATTGTCACGAATACAGTAGTCTTTTATTTAGATTCAAGTTCAGAATACTGTTCAGCTGCTATAGTGATACAAAAATACATGAATAAACAAAGACGAGCTATTCTTTAAACAAAATTTAAAAAAATCTTTCTTCTTTTCAATTTTTGTTTACACTGTTACACCCATTTGATTTAAATGAAAGTAATAGGAAAACGGGTAGTGGAAATAAAGGATAACAAAGAATATGAAAGTTGAGTTCAATTCAATGTATATATGTGGTGTATATTTGGTTTTATGCGCCTAGAAATAAGTTCAATCTCTATTTCCAGCATGATGGTAATATTCTCATGATCTTTTGTATACTTTTTATGATTAATCAATATGAAAATTATCGGTTTTTGTATGGTTTCGAATTATTTTCACTTCAGATTTCGTTGAGGATCAAAATTAGTTAAAGATCACTGAAAACTGGGGAGCATTAGACACTTGTTTCGTCATACTTTTGGACTCTTCACAGTGCACACTGACGATCTCACTAGCAATCGAACCCGGAAAACTATGGTTACGAGACCAAGCTCGTTGACCATCCAGCCACTAGGGGCAAAATTCAGTTGCCTGTAAATTCTAATTCAATACCTCATATGGCGCTACCCTAAAAAGACAACTTCCATTAGGATCTGCTTCTCCTTGACATGGGTGACATCGCTGATCACAATTTATCAGTATAGCTGCAAGACATCTGCCCACAGGCAATCAATGAGGTGGAGATTGCTGTTTAGATTATCAGTTTTTGTAGATTTTGTCACATACTAACATCGATATTTTCATTTTCATCCCCTTCAAGTTATTAGTCAACTTTAAAGTCTATTGTACAATGTTTCTCTTAGGTATAAATGACTGGCTATTCCGATTGCGAATACTTGCTGTTGGTATAATGCCTTGTTAGTAAAGGCTCGAACTCTGAGATGTAGGTATCCATGTAGTCTGATTAACTCTAGATATACAAAGTATGACTTACTGACAAGTGTTATAGTATGTATGTGACTTCCCAGTGTCTCATCTTACTTTATTTGTAAATTCTACTTCAGTTCTAGCAGTTGTCAAAAACACTGGCTCAGTGAAAGGTTATCATCAAAATGAAAATGAATCTCATTGAAATTAATGTGTTAATTTTTGAAAACCCAGTTTGCCTTATTAGGTACTCGTTAAGCAATATACTTCCATGATTGCCGTATCGATGAAATGGAATAAATCTACCAAAAAGTATAGTTAAAGAGACTATTTTTACTATTGTCATTATAAAAGTGACATAAACATATTCCTCTGCGTCTACGATAGCTAGAATTTCATTCCAGACTCTTTAATTAACAACTGCAATAAGACGGTAGTAGTAGTAGGCCTTGGAAACGGATTTTGAATTTGTCGGCACTTTTAAGTAATGAGTATCTGCAGTCCTGGAGAAACTCATGTCCCGTGTGCAATTAGAATCTTTATAACTCACTGCTGCAGTCAGAGGTTATACCACCGAGCTGTTCAGGTTCGCGATTAACTTCCTGTGCGACTGCGCGAGACGAGTTGGGATCTCAGAGGGATATTATTTCCTTGCAGATTGCAGATACGCACTACAGATGAGCAGTGCCAACAAGAACGAAACCCAGGTCAGTGGCTTCCTTATCATTACCTTCAACCATCTAAATACTGCAATTTAGATTGCTGCGTAATGGTGAGCCATCTAGTATGATTGCAGTATTGCATAATTTGACTGACAGAATTCAGTTTGCACCGAAAAAAGGACTAGATACATGACACTTACTGTTTGGTGTCCAATAAAAGTTAATGAACAATCTTACGTGAGAAGGCGTTTCAGCTCTCTGGATAAGACATTTTTTCTCTCTTTTGATTAAACGATAATTGCGAACATTTCAAACACAAACTTAGGATATAAAATGTAGTGCAATGACTAACAATTCTGGGTGCTTTAGGTTATTCAACTGAATAAGTGGAGCTGTTTGGAAACACAAGGTTGACTAACAAGTCAGGTTGGTATGACCCAAACAATTGACTCTTATTTTTACAGGATAGTTTTGCTAGCCTCATTCCCAACCTTCTCTCTTTACCAGTTTTATTACTGGCTTAGCGAGGTTTAGGAGTGTGTCGTTCGAGGATCGAAAGCCGGACCACATGCATAGTTGACATGCATTCTACTGCTGTGTCACCGATGTACTATCGTTCTATGTCAAATGACAAAATTACGACTTATCGGCACCTCCACTAAATAAAATTGATTCTTATTAAACACCTAAAGTAAAGAAAGTAACAAGTTGTTAGATTGAACCACTTCAATTTGCATATACATTTCGCTTGCTCTTGTGGAGCTGTGTATACCGGCAATATCGTACGTCGCTTGTAAAATGGGCTTAACAGCTCCATTTGAATAGTTCTTCAAAATCCTATGCAAAGTTCGATCAAGCTCACAAAATGAGTTGAAATCAGAGCATCTGGGCAACATGAGGCACTAGCGATCTAAAAGCTCACGCCAACACTACATTTTCAAAAGAAATACATCCAACCTATGCCTCTACCATGGCCATCAAAAAAAGTCAATTCCCTAAGCAGTGATTATCCAATAATCCAGTCTTCCTCTTTATTTTGGCTATCTTCACTTTTTTTTATTCCCTATCTGCACTACTGTTTTTCTATCCGGACTTCCCGCTTATTTGGTTATCACTACCTTTTTAATCCTTAAATGCATAAAATGTCATTTAGTCCAGTAGTCACGATTCCACTGTGTTTTTATCGGTCTTCTTGTCTATTGAGTCATTAATTAAATTTTAATCTCTATTTGTAATTTTTTTCGTTAAACCTTCGATCAGAAATAGATTTATTAAATATGTATATATACACGAATGTACAGCCTAGTTGGGAATTTCATCGAAAAGAAAATTTTCTTCTCTGCAACCATCTTTTTTATTCTGCCTATTAAATGAAACTTTTGTGCGTTTTAAAATATAAAAAAAAGGCGAAAGATGTAGCATGACAGCTTAACTTACACGATGTAGTTTTCCAGTTGTTTCAAGGAAACTTATTAATTCTGACTCAATATTAGTCTCATCAACAGTGGCAATATTTTCTGTTACATCTGATATTTTCTTTTCAAGAGAATGACCATTTTACAGTTGGAAAACTAAAAAAACGTTTTGACGAAATAAAAATGGAAAATATTTAAAATTAATGAGAAAAGGGAAGTAGGTTTAATAAATAAATGTACAATAAAATGTAGTACTATAAGTAACTATTTTTCCTTATTGAAACTTCTTTTGATTGTATCCCGTTGAGTAATTTTACTGGACAGAAACATTCGATGCCTGTTGATGTACTGGCTGCTGGTAAGTCGGTTAACAAGACGTTCAAGGGAAGAAATAAAATGAACGACACCTGGCACCCACTGCCACCCAAAGAGGTGGCTCTGTGGGTTAAGAAATACAGTGAATAACTGTTTGGCATTTTCAGTCCCATCTAGTTGAGGAGTCTAAATGGGACGAAATGTGCATCAAGCATTCCACAGTTATCCGTCAGAAAATAAATAGTGTAAATTTAAATAAGTTATGAAGTTGCTTTAAATAAAACTGTCTAATTCAAACTTAGAATTCACACAGAGACAGTATAATCATTTCTTTTAAAGTGAACACTAATTTCTGAAATAATACAGAAGATTTGTAGCTCAGGTGGAAGATTTTGCTTTGGTTGTGTTCTTTGAACTCGTTGATTTAACCGTAAAGCTTTCGTCATCCCCTTCTAGACAACATATTCAGTGCAGATTTCTGTGTAAAGTGGACTTATTTAAATTATCCATGAAAGATATTCATTGTGTTTCCTGACAAGCATTGTTGTGATTAGTTGTTAACTTACATCTATGTCTACTGATCATTTTCATTGACTTGGAATTTGAACTTTCTTATCATGTGATTTACTTTTTATCAGTTGGTTGGATTTGATCTGTAGTACTACGTTTATCAATAGCCGATTCATTTTAATACCAGGCTCATAGAAATTCCCTGGTATTTTTGGTGTTTCCTCCGTATAAAATTTCTGCATTCTGTGACTCATATCGGTGTCCGTAATTATCTACATGCATTGATATTAATTCTTTTTTATTTTTGATTACAGCTTGATTCCACACTGTATTTTGGTACAAGTATGGAATTTTCAGCATGTGGTATCGGTAGCTCAAATTTTGCAGGCCGACCACAGATATCAGGTGTGCGTCGGCAGGGGATCGAACCCGGACCATGTGCATGGTCGGCGAGTGTCTAACCACTGTGCTACCAACGCGTATATCATTTCTTTTACTGTTAACTTGTGTTCTTGCATTTGGATTCGAAAGGGATGCCCTCTCTGACCGATGTAGTATTTGTCGCAATTCATCAATTTTGTTTTGTAAATGCTTTCGATCTTATCTTCTTTCTCTGTTGAATCCCTTGTTTGCACAATACTGAATAAAGTGAATGTGTTGGCTTGTGTGCCATGTCTGTTTCAAGTGGTCTTAGTATTCTTACCGTTATTTCAGGTATATCATTTAAAAATGGTAGAAAGAATTTTCTGTTGGTTTTTGCGGATGGTTTCTTGCTGGTATTTCGATTTGAGTTTAAATGCTTTTTGATGAAATTGTGGGGGGGGATTCATTCTTTTTGAAGATAGTTAGTAGATATTGCTTTTTCATTCTTTTCAGCACTGAAGTGCTGCAGTATGTCTTAGCTCTTTTTAAAAATATTTGTACAGTTTCTTTGGTGAGTCATTGGATTGTTATTGTCATAGTTGAGTATTTGATCTGTGTGCGCTAATTTTCTGTATACTTGTGTTTCTAAAGTTCCTGTGTTAGCTTTCCTGATGAATATATCTAGGGATGGAATTTCGTTATCTGATTCTACTTCGTCTGTGGTAGTGAAGTCATTATCTTCAAATATGTTGTTGATTGATTTCTGGGTGTATTCTAAATCATTTCTTTTTAATTATTATGAGTTTATCATCAACATTACGCACCTAGATGTAATCATTTCGATCTCGTCTGTTTTGGTAATACCTAGCAACAGAACCTGGAGTACTTTTCACCCCTTATAGTACTTATCTCATTTGTACTTATTTGTGGTTCGACTTTAAATTAAACTTTCTCCAATATTTTTGTTCATTCACTAATATGAAAATTTCAGAACTTTCAAGATATAACAGATGAATCAATTAATTAATATCTGATTCAATTTAATTTAAGTTTGATATAGTACTGCCTGAAGTTTATGGTCTACAGACCATCATGAAAAGTTTTAGAATGAATTTGCATATACATCCTTTTATTTCAGTTGATATAGAACGATATTATTTGAGAATTCGAAGATACCGTCTATATATTTTCATATATTCTTTTATTATTATCATTATTATATTTATTCCTTTTAGATTCCAGTTAGAGTATAGGGCTTCAACAGCACATTTCTGTTTCCACCTGTTCTCTACAGTCTTCTCCAGCTCACCCAATGGTTACTCAGAGTCTCTCATCTCTTCCTCAAAGACTCTCCTCTAAGTCATCCTCAGACTAATAGTCCACTAGATTTCATTCATTTCATCCTCATTTTCTTCTTATTATTATTATTCGTTGAGTAATTAGTTCTTGATCTGTTTGTTCCCAGAAATTCCTTTTGCTGATTCTTTCTGGTCATTCACTTTTCAGTATCACATGTAAGCAGCTGTCGATAAAATTTAGCAGTAAGCTGCTTGAAACGCTTTACGCCAAGTTTCTCACCAAAATAGAAGAATTGACTTAAGACTGGTGTTGAAAATCCAGTCTTGTGTTTTATACTAAGCGCAGAAGACTTTCAAACTGATTTCAGAGTGATGAAGACTTGCCTTTCCTTTAGGATTCTCGTAGGGGTTTGAAATACTTATCCAATCCTCCTGTATTTGAGACGGTGATGCCTGTTTAAGTGAAGCAGTAAGCTCTTTCAAATTTATTCCGTTCATAGTATTGGTTTTTGTTGTTGTTGTTGTTAGTTGGTTGGCTGATTATCTTTACCACCTTTGTGTTCTCTTTTTTTATTTGAAGTCCTGTCTTCGCTATCTGCTTCTTCTGTCTAATTATTGATTTTCTCAATTAAGTCTTCGAATTTGTGTTACAATAAACATAAATCATCCTAGAAGTCAATTCTTCTACAGTCTTTCTTTTGACTCAACGTATTTATGTCTTCTCTGTCCCGACAGTTTTCAGCATGATCCAGTCCACCACCATTAGGAATAGGACTGGTAATGGTGGGTAGCCTTTCCTACTCTTGTAAACACTTCAGAGGGACTGCTGAGTTCTCCGTCGTAGATCAACTGATACTTGATATCATCATTTGTTTTTGACTGAGGTTAATAAAGTTTTGGGGAACTACATAGTGTTGAGGGAGTTCCTGAATTACTACTTAGTCAACACTGTCAAAGGCATTTTAAAAGTTGATGAAAATTAAGGTAGACGTTCGACTACCATTTAATACTCAGTTCGATGATGTGATACGTAGAGTTGCGATTTGATCCGTACATGATTTGCTTATTTTAATCTAACTTTTTTCAGATGGAGTCTTGTATCAGCGCATCTTTTGGTGTTTCCAGGATGACACAACTAAGTATTTTACCTGGCCTGGACAACAGTCTGATTCCACGCCAGTTCTTTCAGATGCCCAAGTTCAAATACTCTGGGAACTTGGATTTACTTTAATTTATTTCATGTCAAGAAAGGCAAATGAAGTGTTTTCTTAATAGTGAAAAAGGGTTAAACTAGTTTGATGAAAACCTTTACCACCAATTCGGGTAGATACAATTCATTTAACGGTTCAAGAAAAATGTGGGAAGAGTTTGTTGGCTTAAACTTACGGTTTAGCGTAAGTTCTATTTAAAGTATAACTTGTCTAACGTCATACATTGTAAGTACAGTTAACATTTCATTGAAATCCTTTTAATTGCTACTGAACACGGTCTACCTGTACAGGAACTAAACATTCTTAGCTTATGAAACATTGAAATGTTTCTAAGCACCTATATGTTCTGCAAACAATTAATCACCTATGAACTAAGCCCATTTTTCTTCACAACCTGTAGGCGACGTCAATAATCATCTTATATAACTGAAAACAAAATATTCGACCCTCAAACAAGTCAATTGATTTTATAAGATTTAAGATTTTGTTATGACCGATTTCAATACCTGAATATTTTATTTAGGCATTGAGTGAAGCATTTTTCAACGACAGACGCAGGAACCAATTTCTCCCGGTGACAAGTGAGTATAGAAGGGTGCAAAAGTTGCGTTTATGTCTCCCTGCCTCATGCCTCCTAACTACAACAAACTTTTATTCTCAGCAGCATATAATGTCACCGATTGTTGAACAGATTTCACATCCAATTAGCAGATTTCAACTAAAATACTTCAAACTAAGCAATCGCATTAGTTACCAACTGATATTTGGACAGGTAAACAATGCATTATCTTTTTATGTAACCTTTGTTTACTTCTATGTCATTGTTTCCTTTTGTAAACATACTTATATCAACTATATTTATACGGAAACTGATAAATGTGCTTTTTAATCTCAGATGGTTACATGTTCTCGCTTAAGTAGTGGACAATGGGAGATCAAGTAGCTGTTGCATATGATAAAAGAAGTAGCCTAGCGATAGCATGATCCCCGCGTCGATGTCCAACTCAGTTTTCCTATTTAAATCTCAAAGCTATTGTAAAACATTTAAGTGGTGACATCATAACACCATCGAATGACTAACTCACATTGAAGAGTTCACTTATAAGCGTATTGGATATACATAACAACACATTTTAGAGGAATTGTAACTTGACACTTTAGAGACCTATTCTTTACACACATACCTTTTTATTGAGATAATGAATAAATCAGTTAGAGAACCACTGGAAAACCTGGGAGTACTGGACAGCTGTTTCGTCCTAGTTTGGGACTCTTCAATAGTACGCACCCACCGGGATTCGAGCCCAGGACCTTCTGGTTACAAAGCGAGCTCGTAGACCATTGAGCCACTGGGACACTGGGACGAAACAGCTGTCCAGTACTCCCAGGTTTTCCAGTGGTTCTCTAACTGATGTCAGCTCATGATTAAATCCCCATGCAATCAAACAAAATCCCTACAAAACCAATACTTGAAAATAACGAATAAAGTTGATTTCATCGTGAGATGACATCGGTTAGAGAACCATTGGAAAACCTGGGGACACTGGACAACTGTTTTGTCCTAGTTTGGGACTCTTCACAGTAAGCATCCACCGTCAGGGTTCGGACCTTCTGGTAACAAGGCTAGCGAGCCCGTAGACCATTAAGCCACTGGGACCCGATCAAATGACTCGTGGATTCCAACTTCTACCAATTCATGACATAGCGCAACCACTATTTAATATCTTCGGCGAGTATTTGTCCTCACGCCCGACCTTCTGTGCCCTGCTGGTCACGACTTCCCACTAGGACAGTCAATACAAAAGGGCTTAAACATGTAGCTAAATACTTCAACTCCCTCTCTGTTTTCGTATATATATATATACTGCCTTACCTTTAAAGAATCGTTAAATGCTTCGATTTCTTCAGCTTGCTCTAAACTGTTTGGTATACCACTGATAATATAATCCTTAGAAACACTATCTTTAGAGAAGTTTTCTCTAATAAGCTGAAGTAATTTCTTCAAGGGATTGTCATTACCGTCGGCCTTATCCATAGCACTGTCCATTGAAATATGAATAGAATCAAATTGTTTTACTAAACGGTTGCAATATTCTTTTCGAATATTTTCAGAGCATCCTAACAAAAATAAAGTAGATGAACAAGATAGACATTGCAAAATCTAGAACAACATTTAAATAACTACGATTATTTGTAAGAAATGATAAATAATTTCAAACAATGAACTTATGGTGTGTTAAAAAAAATTCATTTCACCGTTTACTGGTATACAGCTAACAGATGGATAATTCAGTAGTTCGAATTATAAGATATGTGGGCACTTTAGATTAATTTCAATTGTTGGATTTCCGTCACTAACCAACATCAATTAGATAGATCATTGGAAACCAGAAAGCAGTAGACATCTCTTTCACTCTGTTGTGGGACTCCACAACAGTGGGAGCCTACGACTCCACTAGGGATCGAACCCGGTGTGGTGAGAGTTGTCTGCTGGACAAAATTGTTAGACAACAATTTACGTCAGTGTTTACGTCCCAAATCTTGACCATAAGAAAAATAAGAACAAAGACTTTGCGTGAGTAGATACGAATCGCAAATATATGGTGTGACCTTCAAGGAAACGGTCACAAAGAGATGACAGATTAATTTTCAGGGAGAAAACAACCAATCAAAAGACTCTGTTTCTCTGCTTACAATAACCTCTAATAATGTACATAAAAATCTATAAATATCTGTTGATTTTCTAAATAAACTATCTGTCGCCTGGCGCTTGTCTTCTGTCGTTTTACCGGGACCTTCAAGTTACGAGACCATTCAACCATTTTGCCTAGAATTCTATGGCTGGTGAATCCTGACTTTGTCAATTTATGATATAATGATGTCCTGTATTGTGAGTACCAATCGCCAGCTCACTGAAGGCTAGTGGATGAATTTCCTAAAGTTGTGGTCGGAAGTCGTGACTAGTATGGTCCACCATGTCAAGGTGAAGTGGATGTTCATCCAAGGCATTAGTGAGGTCAGCGTTATGTCAGGAATTGACAAAAGTAGAATTCAGTGGTCATTGAATTCCACTCCATGTGGCTAGATGTTCAACGAGCTTGGTCTCGTAATCTAAAAGGTCTTGGTTTCGACTGCTGGTTGAGTCGTGGGTGCTCAATGCAGAGGAATCCTTAACCAGTAGAAAACAAGTGTCCAATGCTTGCTGGTTTTCAATAATCTCTCTGATTAATTTTCATTTGTGACGGAAATCAAACAACTAAAATTAACCCAACAGTTTCTTATAAAAATCTCTCAGAAGCTCAGGTTTTTATTGATAACCTCATTACATGAAAGATAAGTTTCGTTTGCTTCAGTCGGTGGTTCAGTGGAGGAGTGTTCATGAGTCACAAGGGAAGTCTAGGTTCTGTTCCTGACTGAATCATTCTTGAACCTCTCTTAGCTGACAGTAATACTGAAAAACAGGGAAAGCTACATATATGAAGCACACCGTAAAATTAACACCATCTTTACTGAAAATTCAAAAGCTTAGAACTCTATACTCTAACAGATTTGGAATGGATGAAAAAGAGGTTCAGCACACTAAAAACTAACCCAACGCCTTACCAGCAGAGCTAGGAGACTTATCTTCAGTCATCCCTGGTAATGAATGCTAAACTGTCATGTGAATGAATGTTACATAACCGTGCGTTTACCATCAAACTGTGTCTATGACTAGTTATTTTCTAATCAGTTTCATTCATACTGAGTTAGAAGGAAAAGTACAAGCTGTTACATGATGATGGAACTATCTGAGACAGCTTTGAATTAGTAGACTATTACTGCTACTCGGGGAAAATGTAGGCGAAGTGAAAATCCATGTGACAATAAACTTCAAACTCTTCATCGTCTTTGATGGATCTTAATAGCAAAATGGTTGTTTTACACTTAAACAGGCAGTAGTGATTATATATATATATATATATATATATATATATATAACAATATTCAAAACAAGCTGAAGAAAAACTACTGTTGAATCACACGTATAGTTGAAATGTTTTAGTTGCGGCACTCACAGATATGAAATTTTCGTAGATTTCAGGTTAAATAACACCACAAGGGAGACCATTTTTTATGCCAGAATGCATAAACATTTTACAAAGTTTACAATAATTACTGATCAGTGTCACTCATCTAGTCCTTAATTCTGATTTTGACTGACCTGTGTCAGTCAAGTTGGCAATGTGGTCACTAAGCCAGGTGATCTGTAACCTCATCGCATATTGAATTACTTGTAGATGATTAGAAGTAATCAACAGGACATATCTACAACCTCGGAAGAACTGATGTCATCTCAGAGATGTGAACTGGTGTAGCCTTGAATGTTTGATTACGCATATTAATTTTGTATTGAATTTCACATAAATTTACACTGAGATAAAGTAATTCACACACCTATCTGAATAACTTACTAGGGAAATGTGATTTAAATGACTTGTTTGAAAAAGAAATCTTTCTACTGCTGAAGCACAAAAATCGCTAATTAATTAATGAGGACATATAACTATAAAACGTCATAAAGAAAACATCAGGAAGCATTCGAGTTCGAATTTCAGACAGGACAACATTCTCTTCCATGTTGCATGTACGCTTTGCTGAGGAGTGGTAACACGCAAGAAACTTAGGTCCAGATCTTCCAGCCAACTGCCTTCAAACACTGTACAATAAAAATGGTTTTTATATCAGTAAAGTTTTGAAACTTTATCAGTGACCTACTCACTTGAAAATTCTATTCTTGCCTGATTTTTGTAGGATACGAAGTGAATTTGAGTACTGATAGAATAATCATCGTCGAAATTATGCACATAAGGAGTAGCATTTGTTTTGTAGCGTTAAAATGTGTAGACATACTTTAACAGAAGTTGCTTCAAATGATATTTTGGTTGCGATGGTGACTTATTCACTAAACTATTTAAATTTCAAATGAAGTGTCCATAAGTCAAAGTCCTTTTCTTTCTTCTTATTTTGATTAAAGAGGTATTTAAAACTATTCAGGTATTAGATGCACCTTGTGGCTTAATGTAGATTTAAAAATGTTTCTATCAGGTGGTTACACTATACGAATCAGAAAAGCCAGACGATAAATCAGTTACCACACACGTCTTCCTGTAATACACTTAAGGTTACTTGTATGTAATTCAATATTAGTTTTTTTTCAGCTATATCACACACATTGCAACAGTATTATTTACTTGATGACAAGGTTTCGAAAACAATTTATTCTTCTTAGTCATATCAGTTATGATCACACAAATTCGGAACTTAAGTTTTATAGTTTCCTTTGTCCTCTCTCCCTCCACCCTGCGATATCAAATTTTGAAACTGTCATCCTATCCCATTCTGTTGCATGATTGTGTGTAATTGCATGTAGTGCTGTAGCTGAACTATTTTCTGGATTTCTTATCTTATTTCGGGTCAACCAATCTAGATTTTGCTATGTTTTTATGTTCGGCTAGTCTGACTGCCCCTGTTCTACTAGTTTGTCCTATGTATTTGACCTGACAATCATTGCAGGCAGGGTATTAGATAAACTAAATTGTTTTGTTTTAAAGGGTCCACAGGATTGATCCTTTAACCGACAAAGCTTGTTTCTAATTGATATAAGAATAAAACTTGTGCACTGTGGTAGAGTGTAATTCCATTATGGGTAAATTTTGTTTTGATAAAGTCTCACAGTGTTATACAGTAATGTTTACTGATGACGTTTCGAGCACAATTTATTGCTCATAATCATATCAAGGTAATCACACGACTTCCTAAATTCATTTATATAGCTCCATTGTTTCTCTCTTGATTTTCACTTGATTTGATTGGTAATAGTATTTTCCATATTTCAGGTATGAGTGACGAGTCATTCCTATTGCATGTGTTGGGTGTAGACTCGATGAACAAGGATTCAGTAATCAACCTCTCTCTCCACCTACCTAGATTACTTTTTAGAATTTTAACCCTCTCCCACCCTATTGTGTGGTTGTGTGTTAATGCATGCAGGGTAATCGGTGACCTTTTTTCTAAATTACTTATCTTTTCAGGGTCAAGCATTCTTACCTTAGCTAAATTCTTATGCTCTGACAATCTGACTACCCCTGACCTACTAGTTTGACCTATGTAGTTGACCTCACAGTCATTGCATGGTATTTTGTAAATAATATTATTTTGTCTAATTGGGTCAACTGGGTCCTTTAACCTACACAGCTTGTCCCTGAGTGAGTTTGTAGGTTTAAATGCCACCCTAATTCCTATTTTATTCAGAATCCTACGTAGTGTCTCAGATGTCCCCTCTTTATATGGTATAACTGTGGATGACTTATATTCTTTCTCAATTATGTTATTATTACTAGTTTCACAATTATTTAAAGGCCAAAAACAAAATAAAAATAATTGTGAAACTAGTAATAATAACATAATTGAGAAAGAATATAAGTCATCCACAATTATACCATATAAAGAGGGGACATCTGAGACACTACGTAGGATTCTGAATAAAATAGGAATTAGGGTGGCATTTAAACCTACAAACTCACTCAGGGACAAGCTGTGTAGGTTAAAGGACCCAGTTGACCCAATTAGACAAAATAATATTATTTACAAAATACCATGCAATGACTGTGAGGTCAACTACATAGGTCAAACTAGTAGGTCAGGGGTAGTCAGATTGTCAGAGCATAAGAATTTAGCTAAGGTAAGAATGCTTGACCCTGAAAAGATAAGTAATTTAGAAAAAAGGTCACCGATTACCCTGCATGCATTAACACACAACCACACAATAGGGTGGGAGAGGGTTAAAATTCTAAAAAGTAATCTAGGTAGGTGGAGAGAGAGGTTGATTACTGAATCCTTGTTCATCGAGTCTACACCCAACACATGCAATAGGAATGACTCGTCACTCATACCTGAAATATGGAAAATACTATTACCAATCAAATCAAGTGAAAATCAAGAGAGAAACAATGGAGCTATATAAATGAATTTAGGAAGTCGTGTGATTACCTTGATATGATTATGAGCAATAAATTGTGCTCGAAACGTCATCAGTAAACATTACTGTATAACACTGTGAGACTTTATCAAAACAAAATTTACCCATAATGCTTTTAATTGAGTTTGTGGGTTTGAATGATACTTGTACTCCGGCATTGAGTTTCCTTCTTTGTATGGAATTACTACTACATGTGTGGTGGGAATGATTCAACACCAATCCCAGACATCTGAAAAATTCTACTACCACTAGGACAAATAGGAAATAGTAAAGAAAACTATAAAACTCATATTTCGAAGTCGTGTGATTATAATTGATGAAATGGTTATAGACAATAAATTTTGTTCGAGACATCGTCCAGTAAATGATACTTTTTACGGTGTGATATATCTAAAAACCAAATTAATATGGAATTACATACTACCATAGTGGCCAAGTTTTACATATATATATATATATATATATATATATATATATATATATATATATATAGTCTAGAAGACAACTAAATACTCTTTAAAATCTTCAAAAATGCATAAATCTTACCCAGAATGAAGATAAATTTGCATTTGTTTAAAATATCGCTCCATGATTCAGCATCATCTGTATTTATATAAGAAAATATTAAATTAATTATTAGACATTAGAGGTGGGAGTATGAAACAGTAGATTGAATCAATTTTGGTGCAGCTGTTGCTCATTTACACGTATAAAGGTATAGGTTTGATCACAGGCTGACATCTCTTGAAGGACCATTGGAAACCAGGGACTACTGGACTGCTATTTCATCCTTATTTTGGATACTTGAGCGGTACGCATACACTGAAGATTCTAACCTTGAACCTTTCAACTACAAAGCAAGCTCACCTAATGGGGCCCGACCCAATGACCCATGAATTCCAACTTCTGCTAACTTGGTATGTAAAGCACAACCATTTCTAAATATCATGTGTGAGTAAATGTACTCTCTCACTCTCTTATTTATGACAGTGGCTAGTAGTTGCGCTAACACAGACCTAATGTACTAACTTTACACTCAACAACAGATGTATAATACTGGGTCAGTATGTGTATATTATCAAATAAAATTATTATATTTTGAAATTATGCTTTACTACCACGAGGCCCAATTCTATTCTTAAATCTACTAACAACCTTTGTGCATTAACAGTCAATTATGACGGTTTTTGATGTAATCAAGCTTTGACAATACTGGTGATAACTAGGAAAATAAAGAAATACCTCTTCCTACTCATTTTTCTAATCTACAACAAATTTTTTAACAACCAGTTTGCGGTTTTTTATCTCATAATGGTATAAAACATAATTTTAGATCAGTATTTGAATGCTTACACTCCCGCCTTGTAAAATGACCATCCTGCATTGAATTCCTTGTGAGATCATGAGTGCATGGTATTGAAGATTTCCAAATGACTATTCATTCTTTGTTCCCTGGTCTTCTCTAAATAATGTCAATTTATCACAAAATTCATCCATGTGAGTTCGCACTGGTGAAGAGTCCCGAACTAGGACAAAACAGCTGTCCGGTACTTCAAGGTTTTCCAATGGTTCTCTAACTGATGTCGGCTCATGATGTAATCCTTCAGTCAATAGAACAAAATCCCAACACAACCAATACTTGAAAACAATATAAAGTAGTTTTTTTTATTTTAAATTTATACATTTCTACAATTATTCCTAAAACATGAAGAAAATCACAAAGAAAAATCAAAAAGAAAATTACACTGTTAAGCAATTACCATTGACTGTTGTGTTATCTAACTTTAATTCAGATGAAGTCGGTTCATTATTGGGAAATTCGAGTATTGTAAATAACTGTAATGCTGAATTCTCTTGCTCTTTATCTAAACTTTCATCATAACTTGTTTCAAGTGATTTATCATCTGTAACAATATATAAAATTAAAATACGAAAAACTTTAAAATCTCTTTTTTCTCTGTAAAAAGTTTTCATTAAAAAATGACTAATTAATATGTTTTTATTGATGGTTTAAGAAGCCAGTTATTGTCTCATGTTTGTCTCATGTGCTACCCAAGAGGTTGCCTCCATGACTGCATTTAAATGATTATTAGAAAACAGAGATATGGCACAAAACCTGACACAATGGGAGAGATGCATTAATTTGTTGGATAATGACTAGCAGTGGGATTAAGAATGCGAATTCCGTCCTATTTGGTACTGATCAACTGGATTTGCCTGCATTTCCAGTGGTTGGTGATGTTCCGACCGAGACTTAAACTATATACCCACCATTCCAAACGCCAAAATGTTACTAAATAAACCATTTGGGACACGAGAATCACCTTTAGTTTAATGAGTTATTGTTTTGTTTATTGTTTTTTTTGTTTATAATTCAATTTTGGTTCTCCTCTGATTGATTGGACTGAAATGTTCGAACTCTTTTGAGATTTTTTTTATTATAGCTTGATTCCACGCAGTATTTTTGATGCAAGTGTGAAATTTGGCAGGCCGACCATGGTTATCAGGTGTGCGTTGGCAGGGAATCGAACGCTGGACCATGTGCATAGTCGGTGAGAGCCATAACCACTGTGCCACCAACGCCCTAAAGTGCTCCCGCACCGGGAGTCGAACCCGGGCCGTGTGTGTGAGAGGATTAACTTGATTAAAATGCGATTCTTGGATTTCACTACTATTCAGCATCCACCAGAATTACTTCAAGTTAATCATCAAGTATCATCAAAACGTCCGTACTAGTAGGCGACATTTCAATAGAGATCGCAAATTTGAATCAAGTGAATCAGTGGAAAAATCCAAAATGAATTAAGAACAAATAAGAAAGATGGATTTATACTTATCTTGATCGTAACTCAGTGTTTCTTTCATCACTCGTGCCTTTTGATTATGTAGCAATGAATGGCTTTGTGTGAGGTGTCTCTTTCAAATAGTTTTAATATTGGAGTTATTATTTCAGAGATATTTTTTATCTATGGTAGGATGGTATTTCTTGTGATCTTTGATGTCGGCTTGTTGCTGGTGTTATAACTGGAGTTTAAACACTTTTCGACGAAACTGTGAGGATATCCATTCGTTTTGAAGACGGATGGTATGTATATTTCCTTCATTCTCTTCAACACAGGAGTGCTACAGTGTGTTTAAACTCTTAAATAATATTTGCACACTGAATCTTTTTTGGGTAATCGGGTTTTCCCTATTACATTTGAGTATGCGGTCTGTGTGCGTTGATTTTTCATATACTTGTGTTTCTAAAGTTCCTGCATTAGTTTTCTTGATTAGGATATCTAAGTATGCAATTTAGTTGTCTAATTCTTCTTCTTTTGTCGGGGCAAATTTAATGTCTTCAGATGTCATGTTGATCGGTTTGTGGGTACATTCAAAATTCTTTCTTTTGATTATTGCGAATGTATCATCAGAGTAGCATTCCTAGAATTTTGGTTTAATCATAGGTAGGTCTATTAATTGTAATCTCTGCATAACAGCTTCAGCTATTAAACTTGATATAGGCGATCCCATTGATGTTCCTTTTATCTGTTCTTAAATTTGATTGCTAAATTTGAAGTATGTTGTAAGACATAATTCTAAGAGTTCCATCCACGTTGAACATTACCTTTTTGTGTTTTCATCGCTATGCAGTAGTTTTCGCATAGTTTCTTTTGCTAGGTTTGAACCAATCAAAGTATGCAACGCTTTAACATCAAAGGAACCATTATTTTATTCTCATCTACTTGAATGTTTTGGATATTCTCCGAAAATTGGATTTAGTGAACTAATAGAATGGCCGCATGATTCTGTTAGGTATTTAAATTTTCCGTAAAGTTCTTTAGATAGATTAAATGTCGGTGTTCCTGGTACTAAAACGAATGGTCGTAAACGAATGTTCAGTTTGTGTAGTTTCTGTCAAAGAGTAATGAATCCCTTAATTCATGACAAAAATGATGAATAAATACGATGAATAATAAGTTAGCTTTTGTAAGATAACGTATGTTAAAATGTTTAATAAATTATATACCGCATTTATCTAAGTGATAAGAATTTTATGCAGAACAGCACTGAAGCTTACCATCTATTATATTATTCTGTGTGAAAAAAAAGAAGAAATAAAGACAAATGTGATTAATTTCACATCAGTAAATAAACCATCTTGAAAAATGTTGTTAATTTTTCATAAGAGCAACATAAAATGTTGAAAGTGAACCATAAAACAACTGTCCTTAGTGTGAAACATAGAGCTTCAAGACTTGAAGTTCCAGGAGCAGCAATGTTGTTATTCATGATGAAAAATGTCACCAGTTTTCTGCCAGAATAACATGAAATGTTGAGCAATTATGTTTTGTGCCTTCACAGTACTTCGTGTTCTGAGTGAAACATAGGGCTGCAAACTTCAGCGGCAGTATTGTTGCCTCTAACAGGGCTGAGAGAGGAGAGAGTTACCATTCTTATGTTCAACTCGTGTTGTTTTACCAAGAATATGATCGGCTAGTAAGCTTGATGAGGTTTAAGAGTGTGTCGTCCGAGAAGTGAATCTCAACATTTCTACCAGTGAATATTTGTACTGAAAGAGATTAACTGGTATCAATGCTTACTACAGACATATTTCTTCACGCTTAAAAACAATATAAATTCTACAAAATAATATTTCTGAACACGAACCTGAATATTCCTCTAATTTATTCACAAGAAAAATAGTTAGAGCGAAAAATTGTGTTCAATTAATTTTTCTTCAGGCTCCACGGTTATAAATCCACTAATTTAAGCATTACAATAACCAGTTAAGGGAAATTAGAATCATATCAGAAAGTGTACTGTGGAACAAGTATAAGATGGGATGGAACAATAGTCAGTTAGTTTCTGATTATGCACGGTCAACGAGAACACGAGATGAAATTAGATGAAATAATTCAATGATATATTATGTATGTATATAGTCAATAAAAGTACAGGTTTCGAGGGTGAGTGTAATCAGTGGTGTGTGAGACAATATGAATACTACAGAAAATAAACTAGACGTAAATTCAAGGATGAAAACAGCGACAATGATAGTGATTGTGAAATATTAACGATGATGTGGTATAAGCTTAAAAGTACCATTGGTGAATGATTATCAAATAATAATAATAATGAATTTAGTGAATTAAAGTGAAAAGTATTTTGTAAATATGATAACAAATTAGAAAAGCATTTCTTCAACCTAAAGTAATAAAAATCACAGTAAAAGTCATGAAGTCGTAAAAGGTCAGAAATGAACTCTTGTCAATGAAACAAAGGAAAAGAAGTAGAAAAGAACCAAATTTCTATAGGAATTTAAATTGCTAATGTTTATGGAGAACTTTACTGCTTTATGGTAGGCCAAGGTGAACAGCTATTGAACGTACCTTTTCCGCATACAAAAAACCGATCTTCTAGTATTGATTACTACCGCTTCAGCTATTGATAGAAGACGTAGTGAAGCTCCTCTAGATAGATTACCAGGAACGCTGTAATTACCTGAGAACGCCTGTTTAGGTTTTATCGAATGTCCAGTATATACTAAGTGGGTAAGATTGCACTGTATACGCATTTGGTTAGCTCCTTACTTAAGTATGGTTTATTTTCTATAGTATTCATATTGTCTCACACACCACTGATTACACTCACCCTCGAAACCTGTACTTTTATTGACTATATATATACATAAATCATTGAATTATTTCATCTAATTTCATCTCATGTTCTCGTTGACCGTGCATAATCAGAAACTAACTGACTATTGTCCCATCCCATCTTATACTTGTTCCACAGTACACTTTCTGATATGATTCTAATTTCCCTTAACTGGTTATTGTAATGCTTAAATTAGTGGATTTATAACCGTGGAGCCTGAAGAAAAATTAATTGAACACAATTTTTCGCTCTAACTATTTTTTCTTGTGAATAGATTATGACAAGTTACTTCTCAAGTTGTCACAGTAATTCATATCAAGCTTGTGTTTTAATGTAAGAAAATTTCCCCTGTTTTAACAGTACTATCTTGGATGGTTTAACTAAACATCGTTCAAATATCCAGTGTAAGTAGGTAGATTTAACAAGTGTCTACCACTTTTAAAAATACTTCTTTCTCTGTGTCTTATTCGGTATTCGGTAGCATTTCAGTGGTTCTGCTTGAGTTAAAATTAAATAATTTGTAAGCAGAATTTTATCTTTATTATTCAATGAAATCTCAGTCAACTTTAAAATTCATACAGACCGTTGGACAACGCTAATACACTATTAACCGTGTAAGCTACTGGGTGATACTAATACGTATGAATCTAAGATAAACTGATGATGAAACAACAATAGCTGTCGTCAGAATAACTAAAAGATTACTTTGTATACAGGTTGCTATCACAACATATGTTTAGAGTGGCTGGCGGATTTCGTCATTAGCTGGCGTCGGTTCGAGAACTAGTGGAAAACCTGTGAGTATTGGATAGCTGTTTTATTCTAGTTTAGGACTTTTCAGCGGTACATTATAATATCAAAAAAATGTCCCAATGGTGCAAAATATTTGCAGTTACAGAGGGCAATTCTGGCTGTATTGTGTACTCTGGGTAAATTACTAGGACGATTCAAAATTACAAGAATATATATACAAACCCAAACGTCTGACTTTAGCAATAAGAATAGTACTATTACTGAAATACAGACATAAACATCATGGAAATTGGCACTAAGAAAGTTACTACACAAATCAGCATGGAAACAAATTAAGATATAAGAACACGATAAAATGATAATATGATAGGGACTCTAAATAAGTACACTATTACTACTATTCCCTTGAGATCCAAGTGGAGCGTAGGGCTTTAACAACACATCTCCACTTTGTTCTATTTTCCACCGTCCTCCTCAGCTGAGTCCACAATTGCCCATAATCTCTCATCTCTTTCTCACCACACAATCTCCTTCATGTCACCCTCGCACTGACAACCCACTCGTCGTTTTCCACTGTGATTCCACTTGAGCAATGACCTGCATTGTGTGCGATGCCATTCAACGAACTCCTCAACGTATCCCCAACCCACTTCCATTTTCTCCTGCATATTTGTTGAACAATATTACATTGGGTAACATAAAAGGCAAAATAATTGGAGGCCATCTGTTATTAATTTCACTTCGAAACCATAACTGGTAACATCTTTAGCCACTCAGTTATATAATATCGAAATCATTAAAAGTAGGTTTTCAACTCCATCACAAAATTAGCATTACACAAATGAACGGCAAGAAGGCAAGATTTTTAAACAATTACTCAACAGTTTACATATATCTATAAAGTCATAGGAAAAACGTACTTGAGGTACTATTTGGTTATCACCATCTTTTATCATTTGCGACATATGTGGAATAACTTCTTCTGAGACAAAAGCTGAATTATTTGTATTCCCATTAGCTGTTTCTTTCTTTTTAATGATAAAATAAAAATAAAATGATTAAAGGTGAACAGTTAGAGGGAGAAGCAGATTAATTAAGTAGATCAATCAGTTAATTAAGCGAAAACAAGAGAAGACTTAACAGCGAAAAAAAAATTTTCTCTTTTCAAGAGCTCTAAAACCCTGTGTATGTGCGTTTAACACACAATTCACAAAACCAAGTGTACACTCAAATATTTGGATAGCATTGTTAGAAGATGGAGTTTATCTGAAGGATGAATTTATTTGTGAAGTACATTTCAAAACGTCTGATCACATACTTACTTGTTAAATTAGGGTATATGAGAGAAAAATAATGAAGAGTCAGTTGAAGTACTCAAAGGGATAAGAAATTTAAGAATATTCAGCATAATAATTAACACTGCTTTTGATAAACTCATCAGAAAAGGATTACCGAGGTAGGTTAAGGGTAATAATCAGTTTTTTTTTGTACACACAGGTAGGGGCCTAATTTTATGGACAGCCACCACCAAAGTGTATTTCACTTCTTACAGATAATCTTGTATGTTCTTTTTATATAGACCTAGTGATTCATTTTAATTAAGCCTTTTGCTACAAACAAAACTGGTAGTCTTCCACCTATACTTACCGACGTTTCACACTTCTTTTGTCCATCTGGTACATAAAACATTGAGGCTATAGCTACCCGTAAGACTAAGCCCAGACCCTACTGTGTATATGGAAGCAATTTATCATTACACTGGTAATTATAATCTAAAAAATGTATTATGTGATATGAAGTGTAGTCAGGAAGGTAAAAAATAAGTGCAACATGTAAAAAGAGGTTGGAATTACATAATAAGGGTGAAAAATGACCTAATCAGTTTTTCTTATTCCTCTGAGTTCCCAGTGGAACATGAGGTTTCAGTCCTGAAGCCTGGAATCTTCAGTAGTGGTGGTGTTTTATTTTTACAGGGTGGGGTTGGTAGTCTCGCGCTCACACCTCCCTGATGTTCACCATCCGACTAGTAAACTGGTCGGTTTGGAGTGCGTTAGCCTAGCTTCGAACTTGGGAACACACAAGTCATTGTCCAGCCCTATCCCACTGAACCACTAACACACAGCGCAATCATACTTTATTGGGATTAGTTTAAGTGAAAAAAATAGACAAAAGCTATTGGATATACGGTAAAATGTATATTAGAAGGTTTAGACAGAAAATTTTATTCCCTGTTATATCTTCTTTTATAGATATGACTTAATACAGGGATTTTCCTGTTTATTAGTTAAACATACTTTACGCAGAAAGTATTCAACAACTGCAATTAAATCATTCAGGACAAGATGTTGTTCTCGATCACCAGGAATCTAAAATGAAAAAGTTGAGGAGAGAAAGAAACAACACGAAAATCACCTTCAGTATATTCTAAGTAAAAAATGAATTAGAAAAATATATTAAACAGCCTGATATTGATCATAAAATCATATTTAAAAGAATAAAATCGGTAACCAAAAAGTTCACCAAGTCTCTAAATATTTCTTAATTAGTTAGATTAATAGTGATAACCTTAGCATGGCAGACTTGTGATCAAGAGTATCGGTTAATAGGACAAAGTGCCATAACAAAAAAGCAAATCTTGTCACAGGATATTTCTGTTTCAACTTCTACTAATACCAATTGAATAATTCTACAATTAGGTAAGCTCAAAAAAATACAATAGTAGATAAACTGTGGATTAACGTATAGGGGTATTTTATCATTATTAATAATCCCCTTGATTTGCTGGTGGAAAATAGGGCTTTATTAGCACATCTCCACTTCACTCTGTTATCTACTCTTTACCTGGTTCCACTACTGCCCATATACCTTCAATCACCCCAACATATGACCCTCTCTACATCACTGTCAAACCAAGCCTGACTCTCCGGTTTACACCTCGGTTCTACTCCAGGGTCTGGCACGTGATTCCATTTATCGGTCCCCTTGGCATGTGTACGATTCAACTACATTTTTTCCTCTAAAATTGTTCAGTTACATACAAGTCCTTGGTTGTTTCGTTGGCAAAGATTTTTATTGCTGATTTTTTCTGGTCATATGATCTCCAGTATTAAATGAAGGTAGTGTGGTGAGAGCAGGCTGCCAGCCGATTGGTTGGCACTAATCTACGTTAAGGTCTAGGTCACTAATATGGGCCGTGAGAAAATATGAACAAGCCTGAGTAAACAACCAATCAGAAGCCTGCGTTTGTCTACCTAAACAACCAATCAGATGACTGCGCTTGTCTATAATAATGTTGTTGAAATATGTATAAATACGTGTTGATTTTCATAATAAAACGATCTGTTGCCTGGCCCTTGTCTTCTGTTGTTACATTTGGTGTTGCTGCCTACCGACAAATGAAAAGCCTATACCCTGCAGTTTTTGATGGAGACATATGGATCTTCGGGCAGGACTTCAAGGCTTCTGCGCAGTTGAGTGGCGTTCAAGATCTGTCAGCGATGGAGCTGCTACTTGAGACGCTGCTGGGAGGTCGGGCGAAAGCAGCATATGAAGGTGTGGGCCGAAGTATGGACGAATGTTCGACAGGGTCAGGCAAACAGTTTCCAAAGTGGGAAGGACCATATATGGTCACTTCGAGATGGGGTTACGCAGACACAGTCGCAATGGCGAACAATGAGAGGCGCGTGAACGTCAACGAGCTCCAGAAATGGATACAGCGAGACAAGCCAACGATGACGCCTGCACCAAGTAGATCAAGCCGACTTCAGTCGCACGTGTTTGACGGGGGACGAGTGTGGTGAGAGCAGGCTGCTAGCCGATTGGTTGGCACTAATCTACGTTAAGGTCTAGGTCACTAATATGGGCCGTGAGAAAATATGAACAAGCCTGAGTAAACAACCAATCAGAAGCCTGCGTTTGTCTACCTAAACAACCAATCAGATGACTGCGCTTGTCTATAATAATGTTGTTGAAATATGTATAAATACGTGTTGATTTTCATAATAAAACGATCTGTTGCCTGGCCCTTGTCTTCTGTTGTTACACATTTCACTAAACACTAACTCATGTGTTCATAAGCGAAAGAGAAACACCTTTTTAACAAAGCTCTTCTCATAACCAAATTTCAGATATTTTGACATTTCGAAAGTAAAAAGGAAGAAATTCCAATATATCCTAAGGAAAAATGTGTAAAGAAAGAACGGGCATATTCGCAGGATAACACGAGCACGTTTTATTTTTTGTACAGTCAGTTCAGCTTTCTACATCCAGACATAAGAAGAATAAACGGTGGGACGTTTGAAACATCCTTCTACAGGAAAGAAACTTGGACTGATCAATAATTAAATTGTCACAGCTCTTGCCCAATCAGCTACCAACGAAGCTTGATGAAAACGCTTTTTAGCAGAACTAGAATGTTATGTTCAGAAGATAAGATTGAAGGGCAACTCTCAGTTATCGGAAAGAAACCTTATCGAAAATAGATTTCATCAAAAGTTCACATCAAAATATGCGAGTGCAGAAACACCTCGACAGCAACCTGAAATGGTTGAAAATAAATCACTTTTTATCTGTCTAGCGTGGAAATGAGAAGCAGTATCTATAAGAACTGGAAAAAAGGAATTAGGGGTGCATTGGAAAGAACATTTCCGACTGCTGGACTCATTCCAATTTACAACACGGTATGCTTGTTAACTCAGTCAAAAGTAGATAAGTACCCTTCCCATGCCAACTCTAACCACATTTACCCAATCACCTGCACATGCGTCAGCAAGTATATAGGAAAGACTGACAGGAGAGTGTCTACTAGATTCTCTGAGCATGTCCCTAAAAGTCTCCGTTTTCTAGGCAGCAAATTATTTTCAAGTGCAACTGCCAGACACCTAATTGACACGGAAAGCATGGCGGAAATTAGTCAGGCTTTAAAGATAATCAGTATGCATAGAAAACCATGATTTGCAGAAGCTACTGTAATCAAAAAACCTCAACCCCACCTCTATATACAGAAAAATAGTGTGACTAATCTTTCACTACTCTGGTAGTCGTAATTGTTTGGTTCGTTTGCTTTTGTGTTTCGTTTTGCTGTGTAACATGCCACCTAATTTTAATTTTTACCTAATAGTGAGTTGAACTCACTATTAAATTTCCAAATATACTTAGTTGTTTGTCTATGTCATAACTTTACTATTCACTCCCACCCTCTTAAAATCTCCATCATGTTGTGTATAAAATGACTGTGTTGTTGGATCTTGTATTTTGTCTCTAATCAACTCCTATTTCGAAGCGATATCTGAATTCAAACCCTCCGCCATCTTACCTAATTATATCATAAATAGTTAATCTTTTAACTCCAAATAATTCTTCTACTTCATCATCTTTGGAGTTACGTCTCCTATACTTTCTGCCTATAACTCGAATTTACTGTAAAAAGCCTGATCAGAAATTTAAGACGTACGTAGTTGGAGAAAATCCACGAAATAAGATGAACTTGCATTATCCTGCGAATATGTTCATCCTCTCTTTATTCAAACTAATAAAGGGAATCGGTCGTATAAACATATACAGTCGTTCTAAAGCCATTTCAATACTTTGATATGTCACTAGATGATTTAGGTTCATAATTGTGTATAGTCACTTATCTGGTATATAAGCTAAACTGAGATATTTATTGCACATTGACACACAGTCTAAAGTGCGATAAAGGATTAAACGGAATATGTTCCAAATGTTGTATATTAAGCTGTTTTCCGAGGGAACGTGTTTACTAGTCTAGGATGCTGCTATTGGATGTAGTCTGGGATTCGGCATTCTACGGATTAAAAATTATTTCCGTCTAGACCAAAAATAATTTCGAAGACAGTTTTCACTGATAGTAGGTACTAATATGATACAAAAGCTAGATTTATTGGGCTTTACCCTACTGACAACTTCAATGACATATATTTACGTACATATAATGGGGATGTTCAGACATATGGCATGGAAAGTTCTCAAGTTCATTTTCAGTCATTTAGTCAGTGTTTTCGTGGCAGACTCATACTATAAAGTCCTGTATTTTCATTTTTCGCAATACATCCTTCTTCGCATACCTATTAAGGCATTTGGTGGCCTACTTGAATCACTGGGCCACCGGAATTGCTTCCCACCAAAATACCTAATTTCATTTTTATTTATCATTGTTTTAATTGTCCAGTTATATCAAATGATCTATACATGAACACGCGCGCTGATTTAACTTGCTTCCAATTAATCACTAAGCAATTCTTCAACGAAATAAATATATACCTCGGATTATTACATTGCATGTAAATCCAGTATGAAGAAAAAAGTATTTTGAAACTAAATAGGCTGAAAACTTTTGCACTATATGTTCGCATATTGTCTGAAATAAAGCTTCGTTATTATTGTTATCACTAGCATGTCTGTTTCCCTTGAGATTATCTTTGTTTTCCTTTTCGTAATATTTACTAGCAGTAGTAATAATAATGACAGCATTATTCTGAGAAAAATGTTCGTAGACTGTATAAAATTCTCAGATTATTTTGTTGCATAATATTTCATCTTGGTCATGATATCCAAACAAAATAGGACTGACAGTATGTCGTGTGAAGTATTACTGTTCTGTTTAAAGCAAAATTCAATCTTTTACGATACTTGGCCTTCATCTCCTTCAGAAGATCCACAAAAGTAGGTCGAAGGTCTACTGAAAATGTAGGTGACAACACATTTTGCAACCCAAGGAGATAAAAACAATGAAAAATCATGAAAATTTGATGCGTTCTCTAGGATGGAAATTCAGTCAGCCAAGGACCTAATTAGGATTCTAACTCATACTTAGAACCTGTTTTCACCTAGTTTTACTTCCTAAAACTGTGACTAAATTTTTCTTTGGTCAACATCACGACATAATTAAATAGAGATGGATGTACTGAAAACCTCTGTGAGGCGGCCTGTTTAAACGTGGGCTACGAAAAACTTCCATCTCTCTCTTACATATATTTTCTCTCCTTCGGTTTGTTTTAATCGATTAAGATATGATCTCTAATGGTATTAAAATGTTTACAAGCACCCGACTCACAAGTTCCCACTAAACTCGAGGAATTGTATGATTGTGAGTGACAACGCATGCTAATACATGAGATAGCTGTTCTTCAGTTATGTCTTGGGTCTCAATGTGTACTTCTGGATATCTTAAAATTAGCTTTCAACTAAATATCGTGGATTTCTTGAAAGAGACACAGCAGATATATTCTAAGGGAATGGTTTATGCTTCAGCTGAGAGACCATTAGGTCACAGAATATACGGTCAATTAATATTTTACTTGAAGATATTGTCCGAAGGGAAAATTCATGCAATGAACTCCTCTGAAAATTCTGTACATTTTATCAATACTGTCCAGAATAAAAATGTTAATATAATTCCTCTTTCTCACTTTGACAATTTCTCTCAAGATTAACAATCTTGTCAACTTAACAATTTCACTATCCATGTGACAATAATAGACACCAAATGATTGTATCCTTATTTTTCATTAATTAATTTCTTAACTAGTCATAAACATGTCTAAAGTATTCCAAACTGAGAATTTTGTTTCAGTCAATGCTATCAGATATATTTTGATGACTGCAAAAGAAGTACGTTTAAAGTTTATAATAATAATAATACTAATAAAACTTACTGTGACTAGTTTACTTCGTTCATCATAATGTCTTACAACAGGTAATGTACAGTACTTGAAGAATAGTATACGCTGTCCTGCTACTGATTCTTGATCTTCAACACGATTTAAACGTGCATACCTTTGACGTAATCGTTCATTTAGACTAGATTCTTCACAATCCAACAGTATCGCTAAGTCAACACCACCAATCTAAAAAAATATATAACATTTTTTGAAAAAACCAAATGAATACGAAATTCATACATTTCGTTCCCTTGATAAATTTCGATAAAGAAGGAAGACTCCAACTGCGTTTAAGAATTCACGTGCACTTGCGGGAGCAAGTACATTGGAAGGACAGAAAGAAGGGCTTCTATCCGGTTTTCTGAACATATTCCCAAAAACCTGTGCCTGAAAGGAAGCAGATATTCCTAGAGTGCAATTACCAGACACATTATTGATACCGGACATCTCGTAGAGATTTCGAAGTCCTTCAAAGTATTAAATAGACAAAGGACAGCAAATTTACTACGATTTGCCGAAGCAATCGCAATCAAAAGACTTAAACCAGACTTATGCATACAGAAAGAGAGTGTGATTAACCTCTCACTCCCTTGGTAACAGAATTTTGATTTTGATTAGTCATCTAATTTAGTGATCTCAACTCACTGAACAAATCTTAATCTCATAAACTGTAACCGTTTTTGTTTCTTGAGTTGCTATGTGAACCTAAAGCTAACACAATTCTGTTAATCAATTTTTTCTGTTTTCTCTCTTACCCCTCCCCCTCTTTTCAATTTTAAAAGCGTAAAATTGATGATGAAAACTTAAACTAAAAACATTGTAATGCTTTCATTTAGATGCGTCAATTTTATAGTATCTCTCTTCTACCACCACTCGAACATTAAAGTATGTTATATCATCTATATAACCATTGTGATTTCAGGCAGTCTGCAGCTGATGAAAACCTGTGAAATAGAATGATATCATTTTATACTGCAAATTTCATCTTCCTTTCTTTATCGGAATACGAAATTTCATTTAAAAATATTAATTACTAGTGTAGCAACAGAAGACAAGGGCCAGGAAACAGACGGTTTATTGAGAAAATCAACACGTATTTATATATATTTCATGTACATTATTATAGCTTATGCAAGTAGACAAGCACAGCCTTCTGATTGGTTGACCTTGCATCTCTTTGTGACTGTTTCTTGAATGTCAGGTCATCTATATAGTAACTGTATCTGTCTACGCCAAGTCTGCTGTGATTGATTATTGAATCAGTCTTGTTCATATTTTCTCACCACCAATATTTACGACATACCCATTGACGTAAATTGCTGTCTACCATTTTTGGATAGCCTGCTCTCACCACACTAGTATAAAGGGTTCAAATTGTCTGTAGGACATGAGTTCCTTCAAGGTTGCAGATACGCCTTGCTAACTGGTGAGTGCCAAGTAGCACGGAACCTAGGTCAGGCTGCGCTTTCTACCGATTACCTCCAGCCATCTAATATCAGGCCTAACTTCTTTCGTCAACACAGTTGGGTAAGCTAAGACCATTATTTCCTTCAGTTTTAATCACCAATTGACTTTAGTTAGAGAATTAATGTAGACTAGAGAGTACTGGATGGGTATTTCATTCCTGTGGAACACATCCATGACCCCACCAGAGCTCGAACCCAGGACTTTCAGCCAGTGGCACGGGATGAATAGCCTCTGAATTCTAAATTCTGTCTATTCTTTTTTATTAATGTAGGCAAGTATTTCTTTGATAGCATTAGAAGTATTTACTAGTCCTAAGATTGCTTTGAAAAAAGATACGATATGGGTTGTAGACAATTATTATGTATCCCTCAATGCACTCTTAAACTTCATCTAGTATAACATTAGCTAAAAAGTTCGTAAAAGAGTTAGGGTTGAGCATGGGGCTACCAACTCCACCCTATAAAAATGATACCGCTGTTATTGAAACCTCAAAATTCAAAGGTTGAAGCCCAATGTTCCACTCAGAACGCAAAGAATAAAAAATATTATGTGTCGAGAAATTAATTCACAATATGTTAAGGCCAGCAGTCTCTTTTTCTACTAGCTGATATCATACGAAATGAATTGGATACCTGTTAATGAAACCCTTCAGTGACATCATGATCCAGGTACTCGAGTAGAACCCAAGTGTGAAATGACGAGTTGGGAGTCACTTCGAGGATAGCATGGAGGAGATAGTGTGGAGAGGAGGTTAAAGCCTATTGGAAATCACTGAATCAGGTAAAAAAAGACTGTCAAGAACAGAGTGAAATGAATGTGTGGTGTTGAAGCTGTTCCATCCGGAACCCAAGGGAGTAATAATAACAATAGACTGTCAAGCGGTGAAACAAAATAATCAACTGTCATCAATCTAGTCAAACGAATATAACTGACAGAACAACATCAGACAACACAAATACAACGAATATGCTATAGGCCTTTATTTTTTCCCTTTGCTTCTAATCAATAATTACATAGTGATAGTAATCAGTCTCTTCTTAGTGAATAGTCCCTGGATTACATATATATATATATATATATATATATATATATATATATGTCAATATAATCTTATCAATAAATCTTGTTTTTATTACTGCTTAAAAGAGCATAACTTACATGTTGATTAAAAGTATTCAGCTGGCCTTCATGACATGGAATCCTTCAATAATAACAGCTCTACTATTGATTGCAATATTACTAAACTCTTGACGAATTATATCAACTTGTACATCCTAGAAAAATTTTTTGAAAAAAAAATTTCAAATTTATACAGAGAAACTATGCATTCATGTAATGCATCTCAGATAGTCCGACAGATGAAGAAATGGCTTAAATCAATCTGAATATATAGCTTACGTGGAAAGCTTTTGATTTAGAAGACTAATTTATCTTTTGGAAAAGGATAACGCTTAAAACTTAAGTGAAAACCTTGATGAAAAAGGAACAATTTATCCATGCTATCCCTGAATTACAAAGTACAGTCAGATTTAGTTCCAGTTTCCATTATTCTTCCCATAGAATTAAGTATTGTATCACAACAGAAAATAAAAAAGAACTTTTGATGACTGAAGGAATTAAGTTGGTAGCACGGTGGTTATGACCCTCGCTGACCATGCCACGGTCTGAGGTTCGATCCTCTGCCAACGCACACCTGATATCTATGGTCGGCCTGCAAAATTTTAGTTACCGATATCGCATGCTGAAAATTCCATACCTGTACCAAAAAACGGTGTGGAATCAAGCTGTAATCAAAAAAAAATAATAGTAATCAAAAAAGTCCCTGAGAAAACCACCCAATTGAAAAAAATAATTTCCATCTAAGCGGACATATAAGCATGAGGACCATTATACACTTCCACTATGATTTAAGACAGACTACTTACTGCTAGTGCTTACTTGAAAAATAACGACGCCCAAACAACTACTATGGAATGGCGCACACTATGCACTACCAAGCCACCTAATATCACAAAACTCATTTATCAAATCGTAATTCCCCTGAATGAAGTGGCTTTTCATAACTGTTCCTGCACCCATAGAGCCAAATCTAAAAACATTTCAGTGATTTTGCTGCTTCTAAGTGCACTTATCAAATATAGCACTAGATGTGAAGACTGGTGAGATAACATGAGTGTCGACTGTTTGAAATACGGAAATTGGGATTCTTTTTAGCAGAATCAATTATCTAGCATAAATCAATTTCATATTTGCTGACTATTTATTATTATTATATCCTTTAATTCCTAGAGGAACATAGGGCTTCAGCTGCGCATCTCCATTGCCTTCGCTTTTCTGCCAACTTTTTCACTCCGTTCCAAGTCTGCCCACATGCTTTGATTTCCTCTTCACACGACCTCCTCCATGTCACCCTTGGACGACCAAATCGCCGCTTCCCTTTCAGGTTCCATTCGAGCGATGCTTGTCCAGTGATATCACTTGATGGTTTCCTCAGTGTATGGCCAATCCATCTCCATTCGCTGACTACCACTATTGAAATAGTGACTCCAACTTTGGACAACCAACGCTTAAAAACAGCTTGTCGCACATTCATGTAAGAGAAAACGCAGATGTAAACAATCCGCAAAGCGCAACTACCATCACATATCGAGAGTGAGAAATGAAAGTTGTCGATTAAAATGACTGAGGAGAAATTACACAAACTGCTTTTTAAAAAAAAGAGCTATAGACTGAATAATCATTGAGTACTAAACAAAAATAAATAAAATTTCAGAACTTACCCAATACTCTGGAATGATCCGATCCTGGTAAAAGAAAATAATTGATTAACAAATTTACCTACTGTCACTTATGCATTACACTAAACCTGGAAAAGTATTTTAGAAACCTTTTAGTAATCTAACGAACCCTAGTGGGTGCATACTGATGAGTCCAGACTAGGACGAAACAGATGTACAGTACCCCCCTGATTTTCAGTAGTTGTCTAACCGATATCAGTCTGCAGTTTAACTTGAAATAAATCAAATCCCTGCAAACCAACTCTTGAAAACGGGATTAGTCAAGTATAAAATGTAGTATCCTTAAATAAACTAAACAAGATTCAAAGCAAATAAATTCTCAATAATTTGTTTTGTTTTAATTTCCGAATATGCGCCATTTTCTTATACTTTGTGCTTACTATCTTCACCGGTGAGCATTTTACAGAGACCTTATAATTCCATATTCTGTAGGAGCATCCTAATATCAATTTAAATGCAAGCACAATTGTTAATAGCGTACCTAACTGATTGTAAACGTAAACGCCTAGCTTATAAATAAGAACCGAGATATAATTTCACAGATGTACTTGTTCTGTTAGCCTAGAAGCAGATCAGCACCTAGGACGTATAGAAATTATATTTTTTTAAACTTGTGTAACTGTTATCAGTGAAAAGTTCCAAAACTCTTCAGTCAACACATCAAAGCAAGAACTCAACAAAATGGAAAATAAAAACGAGGCACGAATAGACTTGTACTGCAACAAGTGGTAATGAATAATAGCACAGTAAAGTGGCTTCGATTACCTCATTATTATTTGCTGTACCCTTAAATTCCTAGGGAACGTAAGGCTTCAGTAGTACATTTCCCCTTCTCTGCAGTCCTCTTTGGCTGGCCCCATGTTTGCCCGTAGGCTGTCATCTTCTCTTCACGTGATCATCATCACATCACCCTCAGACGACCAATTCATCGTTTCCCATCCGAGTTCCATGCGAGGGCCTGGCATGATGTCACTCACCAGTCTCGACAACATGGGACCGATATATTTCCATCTCCTAAGGCACATTTGGTGGGTGACAGGTTCTTGGTTGATTTGTTGCCTGCCAAAGTTCCTTGATACTTATCCTTGATACCAGCCATGTAATCTTCGGTATGGATTGAAGGTAGCTGTTGGTGAAGGTCTGTATTAGTCTACTGGCAGTATTTCAGGTGACGTGCGTGTCATGTCTCTCAACCATATAGAAGAACCAACTTGAAATCAGTATTAAAAATCCAAATTTTGTTCTTTATGCTTAGTGAAGTAGATTTTCACACTGATTTTGTATTATGAAGGTCTGTCTTGCCTTGCTAGCATTGGCGGGCTCTAACATCTCTATGCGTGTTACCTGCAGCTGAAATGACGCTGGTTATTTAATGAAAGAGGCAAGTTCCTTCAAATAACTCATGCTGATGGTGACCGGTGCCTCTTGTTGTTGTTATTTCTAGTTGGTTATCTTCATCACCTCTGTCTTCTCTATATTCCGTTGAAGTCCTGTCTTCGCTACCTGATTCTTCTGCCAAATTGTTAGTTCTCACCTGTAAGTCTTCAAATGTATATGACATCGGCCATAAATTGTCGGTGAAGTCCAGATGTCCTACAGTCTTCGTGTCGGTCCAACGTATTCCTGTCTTCTCTATCACTATGTGCTACCCCGCATGATCCAGTTCACCTCCTTCGGATTTATCATCAGTAATAATAAGCAGCCTTGTACCACTCATATCTTCACTTCATAGGCTTTTGGGAATTTTTTGTTGTCCATCACTTGACATGTGGTATCGTTGAATAGGATTGATAAAGGTCTAGGTCGATTCGTAGTATTGAAGCAGTTTCCAGATCACTTCGTGCTCAGCCATTCTACAGGCTTCAAAATGGAAGATTGCATTTACTAACCTGGCTGAAATCAGAAATCACATAAGCCATGGTTTGAAATCAGCCCCCCTTTTTCCAGTATATTCTCATTCCATCTAATAATATTTCATCTTAGTGCAGACAGTAAGTCATAACACATGATAAAAGTTCCTGTCTTAATGTTTACACACTATGCCCTCAAAACTTTCAACATATTCCGTTGGTGTGTGTGTGGGGGGGGGGGTAAGTTAACTCAAGCCATAGCAATTTACGTCCCTTACAATCTGATCACCTGATCTTAGTATTTACAGTAATTTAATTTAATTCCACAAGATCGACAATTTTCACAAATATCTTTTGCTAAATGACTTGAAACGAATGGATATACTCATGGTTTTAGCACTGCTTCAAATCACTGTTATTATATCCGAATGGGCAACTTTATAATTACACATCTTTTATGATTATGAAACACGTTATCCATCTTCTATATACCATATTCTAACTAAATAAGATAAATTTGTACATCGGTAGAATAGTGGTTAGGACTCTCGCCGACCATGCATATGGTCCGAGGTTCGAACCCCTGCCGACGCACACCTGATATCTATGGTCGGCCTGCAAAATTTGGGCTACCGATATCACATGCTAAAAATTCCATACTTGTACCAATAATACAGTGTGGAATCAAGCTGTAATCAAAAATATAAAAAAATAAAAAAACAAGTAGTGTCAGAAAAACTGCTTTTCTTCCATAATTCAAAATCATTCTCTTTTTACTCAGGCAAGAAAAATAGATGAGGAAAACAGAGATTACTTTGTCAGTTGGTGGATCACTGGAATGCACTCGACGTGCAATTACATCCCAGTCCTTATCACTATCTTCATCAATTAAATCTAATACACGTTTTCTTAAATAATCAGTTACATTAAAGTGTTTTAAACCAGGCAACTTTTTGCATAATGCTCCAGCTTGTTCAGTACGTCCAGAAGCTGGACCACCTAAAACAACAGAAGTATACAAGGAATAAGCTAGTAAATTTCAATTAATAAAGAAAGATGGTTGAGTCTTACAATAAATAGTACATCATTTCATATTATCACTAGTGACAACAATATAAGGACAAAAGTATATATGATGTGGAAGACGAAATAACAAAGAAGTACCCTTAAAAGTATAAAGTTGAAGATTACTGTCGAAATTGTCTTCAAGATTAAAATTTGTTTTAAAATATGCTTCCCATAATATTTAGTTTCTGATAATTAGCATTTTGGACTCAATTCACTTGTAAATATCCTGGAGGTCTACACAAATTACAGGGCCACCTGGATTACCATTCATCATAATGTATTGTTTCAACCACTCAGTTGAGTCTTTGAGTGGCAAAATGTACTTCAAGCACATTTCTACTTGACTTTAAACCTACTGTCGTGCATTTTTCGGAACGAAGAAAAGTATCATAGAAAAGTGGTTGGTACTGCAGATTTAACGTCACGGTATCATTTGGTTTGTTATGGATTACTGTTTTGTTGGTATTAGATGGTTGGAGACAATCGACCATTGGAAGCCTTTCTTGACCTAGGCTTAGTGATAGTTGGCACTCACCAGTCAGCAACCTTGAAGGAACTCATGTCCCTTCTGAGATTCGAGCCCGTCACCCAATGAGTAATTCAGTCAGATACGTTACTACTGAGCTATTCTGGCTCACGATTGACCTCCTTTAGGACTGCATTGGATACTTTTGGTTCGACACTAGTCGTTAACTGATGTAATGTGTCTAGTCTTATCTTTGGTGCAGACTGATTTCTATCAGTCAAGCTTGTAGTGTGACCACCCTGCTAGGTGGCTCACCATTATGGTGCATTGTGAACTGATGGTATAAGATGGTTGGGTGTAATTGGCAGGAAGCCTTTTATTCATTTTATTTGAAGATCCTGGACGAAGAAAAAATACTATGCAATAAATTACTCTGAGAATTCTGCATGTTTTGTTTAGAATAAAGCTATTATTATTATTATTAAGAATGAGTCGCACCAGTGTACTCATCACACAACTGACCCTACTATATGACAGACTATGTGATTAAAATTCTCACTGTAACCCCTGTAGAGTGTAATTACAAACAAATGGTTTGCAAATATCATATCTAGAGCTATAACTCGTCATTATTATCAAGTGAAACGAAACTGTTTAATTTCATATGAATTCAAAACCCCATGAGACACAATAACTTATCAACTCAAATACTGGGTACTTAAAGTCATCCTAACTTGTACACAAGATCATGATAGTCTAAAATATCTTTCAAAATATTAAATATTCCCATAGTAAATTTAGAACAAGATACTTAAGCGAACAATATTGTTTTCAGTTAGATCTCATCAGGTCTAACTCTAATGTACATAAATGTACAAATAAATATTGGATAAAAAAACCTGAGACGATTACAGTATAGAAGAAACAACTATTTATTAAGCTACAATTTAATGGGGACTTGTCAAGTGAAATTTTATCCCAGTGACTGACCGGAACTATACGTAGAAGATTTCATCCAGTAAACCTATATTTGTCATTCTCTACTCGACTAATGATTGGGATGGAAATGAAGGATGAGGCAGATAGTTCTGCCACATCTTTGTGTATTTGTCAGTCCAGCTGCTTCTGTGGAGACAACGCGTGTTACTGAATATCTCCTTCGGTGGTTTCACAAATGACAGACAGAGACTATCCTTAGCTCCTTTTTATGACATTTAACTGATAATGGTCTATTAGTGGAGAAAACTAAAGTATCCAAGGTGACTAATCATCACATCTCACCAAATCTTTCCAATAAACTTTGTATTTGTTTACTGCACATAACTGAGGTATTGTTAGAAATAGCTCCACTTTTTCATCCTTGTTATCGATAGCACCATTATTATTGTTATTATTATAATCAATAGTATTACTATGACTAGTTGCGCAATTTATATGCACAATCTTGTAATCCTATTGACAAAACAACGTGATTCGTTTATATTTTAACATGTATTTGTAATGTTGAGTATATTAGAGGTAAGCCTAATGAGATCCAGTTGAAAATAATATTGTTCGCTTAAATGTCTTTTTCTAAAATATCTTTGGAAATAATGACCCAATTACTGACACCTGAAGCCTATAGAAGATGAGAAATACTTGTCTGACAATTATGATTCATATGATTGCAGCAGCATAAATACGTTATTTAGTATCGCTTTTTATATCATAATATTTTTACCAGATATACAAATATGGTGGAACAGAATTAGTTTGATCTGCAGTCGAGTATAATGAACGAGATAGCTTTGCAACACAAGTACAATACGATGAAAACAGTCATAATCAGGAAAACCTACAGCATATGCCCTACATCTTCCCTCATTTCATAGTCATATCATAATATCATGGTCAACAATCTCAACGTGTCGCCAAAGGTCCTAGGTTCAATCCCGGATGAGGTCATGGATATGCAGTACTGAAGAGTCCCAAACAAGAATGAAATCCATGAATTCATTCTATGTAGTAGATAGAGAAGCAGCAATTACCTGATCAGCCTAATTCTAGCATCCTAATACCAAAGAATGTAAATCAGTGGTCCAGAGTTCGATTCCCAGCCTAGGCACTCCTAAGTCTCGCTTAACCAGTAGTAAGACTGTTAAGAAGGGAAGGTTGACCGTGAGGCTAGAAACCCCACTCTGTCAAAAATAAACACCACTAATGTTGAAATGTCGAAGCTCGAGATCGAAACCCTGTGTCCCCCTCGGAACGCAAAGGAGTAAAAAGAATGCAACAGAAATGCAAAATACTCAAAGGTTTAACCTAGTAACACAGTTACGATATTCACACTTATTTCCATTGGCGATGAGTTCAGAACACAAGTTTCTGGTTGTATAAAAGCAAGCTGACAAAATAATTAAATATATAATTCCCAGGAGCATAATCAAGACTGGGATGCAGCTAATCAAGAGCTTTTCTAGAAAGTTGGAAGTAAAAATGACTCCATCACTTTATCAAATAACATAAGTTTATTTCCTGCTGCAAACAGCTTTCAAAAATCACTGCTGTCAAAAGTAATATATAATTTTCAAGTATTTTACTGTAAGATTTGTTTAATTTCAAGGAAGATTTCTTCAGAAACAAACTTCATTTAGAGAGTCATTGAGAACGAGATAGTTTCAAGCGTCTCTTTTGTCTTAGTTTGAAACGCTTCACCAGTGTGCATCCGCCATTACTCAATCAGAGATAAAACTCAAAACCTTCAGATTACGGTGAAAGGTCGCTGACAATTCAGCCAGTCGGATGAAACCCACTAACTCTTAAATTTCTAACTTCCGCTGATTTAAGAGATATACCACCACCTCCAGCGAGTATTACTGACGAGTATTAGTGAGTCATCAGATCCCTCGCCTTGACAGACCCCATAGGCCACGAATAATTATTAGAACTGTAGAAAGCTCATTAACTGATCAGTCACAAGTGAGCAGTGCATTGATTTTGAAGTCTATTGGTATTTTGATGAACGCTTTTGTATTCACCACCTTTAAAATCTTCCTTAATTTTAAATTCCTCTTTTACAAAAACTTATAGCTTCATAAATTATAACTTACCAAATAACAGTATTATAGGGCAACTATAAAGATCGCTGGAACGACCATTGTCAGGAAATATTGGTGTAATTCGTGGAATATTGAATGCACGCATTCTATCTTCACATCCCATCATGCCATGACTTGCAGTAGGAATTGGTTTGTTGGGTACAGTACCTGGAGATGGACGTGTTTCTGGCCCTGTTCGGAAGAAAACAAAAAAGACATGTGTTCACTAAGTATTCTAAATCTTCAACATGTTTTCTACTCTGCTAACCTATGTCTGACTTGTTGGAGTTAGAGCATGATTCAGAAGTCTGAAAAATAAACTACCGATTAGGCTCACTTCTACGTGTATCTATTATTTCACAGGCTTCCGTTGAGCTGATTATATCAAGCATTGTAAGCGATGTCTTTGAAACATTCTATCTAACATTATGAGATAGTTGTTGTGGTTCAATAGCCTATTGAATAGTGTTCTGACCTGTGAAGTAATGAGTGAAGGCTTGCAGTCTTAAATAGAATACCGTAATTCTCTGGGGATTAAGTACATACGAATGACGAGTATTACAAAAAGAGAAAACACGCTTCCTGGATTCTTATGGTAGCCATTGTTAACTGAATAATACTTTTAATTTACTTGTGCTTGCCTTTGCTAATTAATTTTTCCTAACTGAGCAATATTCATGTACAAATAAAATGCAATAAACCATTTCTGTCTATAAATGTTCCTTAACCTACTAGTCTCATCAGCAGTCGTGGGCTTGGCTACGGAAACTCTTATTTAGTAGGTTTTAAAAAGCCACCTCCGTGACAAAAGACATTTATAATCATATATCTATTAAGTGTCTCACAGAACCTCTACAAAATATGTTTTAACGAAACAGAGTGGAAAAAGTCTGGATGGTTGGAAACACAGAATAAAAATAATTCAAGCAATAAATAAGCAATTGACCACGGCAAAATAACATACCAATCATATTTCCAGAAAGTATATATTCACACACTTTCAAAATATCTTTTGCAATTACATCTGGTTTATTTTCACCATCAACCTATAAGATTATAAATGAGGTAAATACAATTTTTAATAAAGAATTCAACTTTTAATGATTATTATTATTCCCAGAAACTCTGGAAACCAACCAGCCAGGAACCTATCGCTCAACAAAATACGTAGGAGAAAGTTGAGACTGTCAAATGAGATCGCGCGCCAGGCTATCGCTCTAGTGGAACCCGGATTGGAAATGACGAGTTCTGTGTGGACCCTAAGGAAACCAAGGGGAAAATTCTATTTGTCAAACTCTATTGATTCTCTTCACTCATCTTCTTGTCTACCTCTGTGTGCTATTTGGAACGTGGCAACTCGAACTGCTGCACTTCGGTGCCAAGTTCTATGTTGAATCCAGCCAGCAGCCAGCCAGCCTAAGGTAACTTGGAGAAGATGGGAACATATGAGAAATTATGAGGCCAGCTAAAGAAGACTTCAGAGAAAAAAACAAAATGTAGATTTACTGTTAAATCCCTATGTTCCACTCTTGTTGAAATAACTGTAAGCCGTTGTAGTAGTAAATATTCCTCTAAAATAATTAGCCTAGAGCTCTTGACATTCGTCATCGGGGTGGGGAAGGGTGTTGAGTGGTTAAGCTGAAAACACACTGCCAAATATTCATGCCATTTAACATTGTTGCGTTATTTTTACTGGACATTAGTAACTAGTGTGATGTGTCTAGTCCTTTCTCTTTGGTGCAGACTGAATTCTATCAATCAGGTTTTGCAATGTGGCCACAATTCTAGGTGGCTCGTCATCAAGGTGCACTGTGAATTGTTGACATTAAATGGTTGAAGGTAATCAACAGGAAGCCTTGAACCTAGGTTTCGTGCTCGTCTAGCCCGAATAGCTCAGTGGTAACGTCTCTGACTGTAGCGCTAGTTGACGTGGATTCAAATCTCAGAAGGGATATAAGTTCGTTCCTTCAAGGTTGCAGATACGCCTTGCTGATGAGCGCCAACTAGCACGAAACTTAATTTAGGAAAGGCTTCCTGTGGACGATTGCCTCCAGCCATCTAACATCAACTGTTGTTTTGGTGTTTACCTGTTCTTGCACCAACTCCAGATAGTTAGGCAGTCACAACTGCATTATATTTCTGATCTCAAAATAGATCTCGCATTTTGAAAGATCAATCTATCGTTGTGATTTGTCTATATTATAGGTAGAACAAGAACTTTGGTAGCTAGAGGATATACGCATGCGCATCTTGTGTGACTGTCGATATTACTCAGCTTCTAAAACGTTCACACTGTAGTAGATGTATTCACTTTTTCATTTTCTAAATTTCGAAAATTTGTACTATTCATTAAATTATTCTCTTTATCACTCAAATATATTCATCAGTATAATATTACTGTAATTTTACTCTCTTCATTTAACTGAACTATTTTGCGGTTTAGCAATTTGAACTTGTTGTATGGTTTTACATTGAGTTGTCTCTTTATCTTTTACGCTGACTTTTCAAAGTCTATGGTGAACAAAACCATTCTATAGCTACATAACTATTAAACTATTACCACAGTCTACCTACACTTCATTAAATAATAAAATTTTATTTTGCATTGAAAATTTTACTGGATTATATTTCATGATATTTTCAGAAAAATACATCAATAGACAATCTCTTTTTTTATTCATATAATCTGAGTAGCCTAAATGTAGCTTAATTCGCCCAAAATAATGGTCTTCTTCAATGTAAATCAACCAGTTGCTACGCCTTAAATAAGCATTTCATTATAGGGAATAACATATATATGCATTATATATATATATATATGCAAAAATTCGACAACTAAAACCTTTTATAATAGAGCTTATGAAATAGGCAGTAAAATAAAAATTCACCTAATATTTATTTAAACAGAATAACTGATAAATTCAACCCATTTGTCTATGTAATCGATTCAGACAACTCTGTGACTTAATATAGGGAATGTAGAATGCACGGATTGTCCATATGCGTCAATGGCTCAATGGTAGAATTCTGAGCAGCCATACAAGTGGTCTTGTTTCTATTCTTGGCTAATGCACCCTTAAATCTCCCCTAACTTATAGGTTCATAGAAAGCCCAGCGAAGGTTAGGTGTGAGGTTAGCAACCCCAACGTGTAAAAAAGACACTACCGTCAGTGAAACATCAAAGCTCGAAGCCTTAGGTTCCAGTAGGAAGGCGAGCGATGAAAGTAATAATGTATTGTTCATGTGATCCGTCTCATGATAGCTAGGCGCACAAGTTACGAATACACACCCCCTCATACCTAAAAGTAACAGGTTGTAAATACACTTTCATCCTAATGACAACATCCTCATAAACGCTAGGACCCGCAAAGCATTATTTTAAATGTCAACGTATATCTGTTAGGCTAAAACGTTGCATCAGCCACTGATACTTAGTGGCTAGTGTCTAGCACTGTAATCCATGATCAGTATTTCGTCTTGTCTGCGACTCATCACCTAGATGTATCTGCGATTTCCAGTGAGTGACGGTGTTCCTGCTGAGACTTGACACCATCACTCATTGAAATAGCAAGAAATGTTCATCTTTAACTCAACTGCTAGTCACCATCCACCAAATAACATCCTGTTAATCCCTAAACGTCGTTGAAGCATCCTTACTGGGAACCGACTTCCCAACGGAAACTGAAGATTTCCGTCCAATGAATCAGTGGGATAGACAAAAATGGCTTGAAAAAATATATATTAGCCACTGCTTAAACATCCGAAAGTATTTCTGTAAAACAAAACCAAGAACTCACAACTCTAAGTTTTTCATCATTATCAATAAGTTTACATGTTGGCAGCGTTTGAGTTTTAAATAAACAAAGACGACGTTCCACTGATCCTGATTCATTGTTTTTGAAATATTTATCAGCTTGAGATTCTTTTTCACTTAAACGTTGTCTACAAAATTCTTCACTAACATCGAGTAGAATCACACAACCTAATCTCTCCATATTCACCTGATGATTGATAATGCAGAAAAAGGAAAAATAATGAGTTGGATGGACTTATTAACCGCGAAACAATAGCAGTGATTTCAATTATAAGGCGATCACTGATGTTATATAGCACACAGTTACAAAGAAATTTGAGTAATAACTTTTTGAACTAACTGCTCTATGTGTAAAACAACCAAGTTAGATATAATGTCTATTAATCTGACAATTCGTATAGCATGATGCAACAGCTATCACGGTATACAATGAAAACAGATATAATTCCAGCATTTCGGGTTACAGGATTTCATCATAAGCTGACATCAGTTAGAGAACCACTAGACAACCTGGGAGCGCCAGATAGTTGTTTCATCCTAGTTTGGGACTCGTCATCAGCACACTCACCGGGGTTCGAACCCAGGACCTTCTGGTTACAAGGCGAGCTCTTAGACCATTAAGCCACTAGGACTCGGTTCAACGGTTCATAAATTCCGGCTTCTGCCAATTCACGACATTTGCAATTAATAGTATTCCCTGAGGTGGTTGGTTTAGTTGTGGAGCTTTCATCGTCTTTCTGAACGACATCTTCAGAGCAGTATTTAGGATAAAGTGAAATGATTTAAATTTCTTCATGAGTGATATAATTGTGTCTCCCGGTAACCATCTTTAGATGTCGTTCAGAAAGACGATGAAAGCTCCGCAACTAAACCAACCAGCTCAGAGAACACTATTAATTAATTAATTGCAAATCATCCACCTGATTTACAAATCTTTTCTATTATTTCACTTCACGACATTGTCCAATGGTTGTCTAACCGAAGTCAGTTCATGATTAAATCCTGTAACCAATCAATCAAATCCGTACAAACCAGTATTTGAGTAGAGCATTTGGATTTGATAAAATCCCACAGCAATACAGTAATGCAATTCACTGATGACATTTTGAGCACAATTCATTGCTTATAATCATATCGAGGTACTTGCATAACTTTCAAGCACCGTTAATACTGTCCTTTTATTCCCTATCCCTTGATTTTATTGGTAGTAATACTTTCTATAACCCCAGTATTAAGCGACCAATATTTCCTTCCTGGCTATCTTTATTATTTTGAAACTGTAACTCTGTCAAACCGTATAATGTGATTGTGTGTTAAGGCATGCATTGGAACTTCTGAGTTTCTCTCTAAGCTATTTTTATTCCTTGGGCCAATCATTCAATGTTCTTATAATCAGACTACCTCGATCTACTGGTTTGACGTAGTTATTACAAGGTATTTTGTAAACTACATTATTTTGTCCGGTTGTGTTGACAGAATCTAGCATAGCTAAATTTTAAGCAGCAGTAAGTACCAATGGAATATGACCGCACCAGTTACCACAGAACCTTGGATCAGCAAGTTAGTGAAACCAAGCAAATAACATTAGAATCGTGAATAAATATGCTAAATGAGGCGTTTCGGTATTAAACGGAACATCTGGTAATTTTATGTTAAGTTCGTGCGAAGGACAGGTTAGAGTTAAGTTGACCTGATAAGGAAGATATTACGGTCAGTCGAGTTAGATTAGGATTCGTTTTGGGATAGTTTCGTGTTAGGGTTTCGTTAAGGAAAGAATAGACTTAGGGTAAGAAGACCGAGATAAATTTATGTATAAAATGTGGAACGATTTCCATATTGACACCGCAGCCATAGATTGAGTGGCGTTTCCGTCACACGTCAGAGAAAGCTGTTCTGTGTGACACTTGCCTGCTTTTTTATTCATTATTCTCCTATGCTTATGTGTTTTATACATAAGAATCGCCTTTTTCGTATGTTTGCGTGAGTGTGTTGAATTCCACGTCATTTGTTTGCTACTTCTTTTCGGCGCTTAAAGTTTAACATCGTCTAGGCTCCTTTAACCTACAGATCTAGTCCTTGAGTGATTCTGTAAAAATTATGCAGCACCAATACCAGAAATATGGAAAATATTATTACCAATAAAATTAAAGGAGGGGTAATAATAGGACTGTACTAAAAATGTTTGAAAGTTGTGCTAATGTCTCGATATGATTATGAGCAATAAATTGTACTCAAAACGTCATCAATCTATTTTATCGGCAAATCGCTGTGTGATCCTAACAGATAGATTTACTCTATGACACATTTAATTTCTACCCCAATGTCCACGTTCTATTCTTTTATCAGTAAAAGAGTTATAGTCAAAGTTATATGGGAATCTTAACTTTCATACTCATACTCATATATGCGTCGGTGGCACAGTGGTTAGGACTCTCGCCGACCATGCACATGGTCCGGGGTTCGATCCCCTACCGACGCACACCTGATATCTATGGTTGGCCTGCAAATTTGGGCTACCGATATCTCATACTGAAAATTACACACTTGTACCAAAAATACCGTGTGAAATCAAGCTATAATAATAAAAATATATATATATATACACCTTAAGGTTGACCGCTTCTGTAGAAAACAAAAGTTTATGGAGTAACTATTGATGTCTTCATCTGTCGAGTCACTCTGTAATAATGTTATATACTAGGAAATGGATATAAGTATATAAGACGCAAGATGTTGCCTATTTGAGTAAACTAAATAAAGTAAAATAAGATTCCAGTTTTTAATGAATCCCAATTATATGTCGAACAATGACCTTGTCACGAATAAAAGAAAGCCTTAATGGCCTCCTCCCAAGTTATCTGATTATAGCCATCGAAGAAAAATACCTAAGTGACATAAGCTACATCAAGATTTAGTACACACTGTACTGACAAGTGTGTATGAACTACAACAAAACCCCGAAATATGAAAAACATCTTACATGCTTTTTAAGATCTGAATACTGTCTCTCATTTCTTGGATAACCATCAACTATAAAGCCATCTGCACTAGCATGCTGATTCAACTTCCATAGAAATGATTCTAAAACCATATCCTAAAGAGAAATTTTTTTAATTTAAAAAAATAAAAATAAAAAATGCGCATATAATACAGATGGCAAAAATTCTCCACTGTTAATCATTTTTACAGCTTCTGGCCAACGGGGTGTTTTCTTCTCTGCTTCAATTTTTGCTCGTTTTTTTAATAATGTTGCCATATTCACATAAATAAAGTTAGGATAATGTGGAATAATTCCTGAGGAAAATATTGATTTATCTACACCTGGACCAGCAACAATACATATGATCACAGCACTAGGCTTAATATCGAGTTTAGTTGAACTGATCCCAGGATGTGGATCATATTGTGAATTATCATCAATTTCTGATAAAAAAAAGAAAGAAAAAAGGTGGAAAGGGAACTAACTATTTCGAATAAAAACAATTTTATTGCATCAAATGATAAGATTCTATGAGTTTATCTTACATCTGTAGGGGGAAGATGCCAGAAGAAGTAGGCAGAGAAGGCAGAATTTCAAGGGAACATAAAGAATACATGATTGGTGAAAATACCTAACCAACAACAACAAGCATCAGTCACTATCAACAGCAGAAATTGGAAAGAAGTCACCCTTTTCACCTACCTGGCTGGGCATCATTTCAACTACAGACTCATGGATGAGGGTTTGAAAGCCAGAATTGGAACAGTGAGACAATGCTTCATCACTTCACTCAGCCTAATAAAAAAGATCCAAATTTGCAAGACTAATGTCAAATTAGCACTTCAGTAAAGTTCACAGAGACCTGGTGCTGCACAAAAAGCATTGTGAACAGACTGCAGAATTTTGTCAACAGATGTCTTAGTTCACCACTGAAGATCAGATGGCCGGCCAGAAAGGATGAGTAACGAATCAACCAGGAACCTAGTGCCCATTAAATATGCAGAGGAAAGTAGAGATGGAGGTGGCTGTTGAGCAACATCCCGTTCCAGGCCCTGGAGTGAAATGCAATTAGGAGATGATGTGTTGGGCTGTGATCTTAGGGTAAAATGGAGCAGATTGTGTGAGGAGGAAATAGAATTTCATGGGTAATAGTGAAGTCAGCTGAGAAATAGACTGCAGACAACAGAGTGAAACAGGGACATCCTGCTGAAATTCTGCGTTCTATCAGGAACTTAAGGGAATAGCAATAATAGTAGTACAATAATTATCTTATATCATGTAAACAGTGCCTCATTTCAATATTCAAGTTTGTCAAATTCATAAAGACACAATTGGCATCTTTTAAGAGTTTTCATTTTAATCTTTCACTAGAATGAATGTCTATTAAATTACATTGGTACTACAGTAAATTTTTATGCATAAATTAAAGAGGACTGACGATTACCCAGAACATTAGCCGAATAATCTGTGAATAGCTGTTTAAAGAACAGCATAAACACACGAAATGACAGTAAATCTCATTTGCCAGGCAACCGCTAAGTATGTAAAAAGATACATTTCCTTTGTTTATAAAATTCTATCTGTTTGAGACTGCCATATCGAGTGTTTATAGAAAGAATATTATTTTTCACAACAATGGCATACATGAAAACGTAAACTTAAAAGCGAACGCTGACAAATAATTAATTAGGTGTACCAATTATCAATCAATACATACTAACAATAAGCAAATAATATGCAGTACAGCTGTGTAGAACATTATGTATAACTTTTATTATTCTTTTGGGTTCTTATTGCAAAATAGAGCTTCAACACCACATCTTCATTTTGTCCTGTTCCCTGGAATCTTCTTCATATTGCCCTATGATTGTTCATGAGCTTTCATATCCTCCATGTCAGGACCAAGCAAGTACACCCAACTCGTCGTTTCCCATAAGGAGTCCACTTAAATCGTGACCCGGTGGACGATATCACCCGACGGTTTCCTCAGTATGTTTCCGGTCCATATCCATTTTTTTCTGTATATTTGCTAAGTGATAGGTTCTCAATTAGCTTGTTCCCAATTTCTTGTTTCTAATTCTTTTTGGCAACCTGTCAGAAATCCTTTTCTTCACAGGCCAAGTTCCTTACCCATATAAAAGAAATTATAGACTTAACATTAATGTTTAAACTCCGAGTCTTGTTCTTTATTCTGAGTTCAATGGACTTCTACACTGATTTCAATGTGATGAATGTCTGCTTTGCCTTTCCGGTTGTAATTTTGATATCCTCATTCGAGCAGTCGGCTGTATTTGAAACGTTACCGCCTAAATAATTGAAGGAAGTGACCTCTTTCAAATATCTTCCGTTGACAGTGATTGATGCTGGTTTCTGTCGCCTGCTGGTTATCATCACCACCTCTGTCTCCTCTATATTCCCTTGAAGCTCTATCTTTGCTGCTTCTACACCTAGTTTTTTGGCTTTCGCCTGTAAGTCTTCGAATTTATGTGAAATTGGACACAAATCTCTCTCGAAGTCCAGATTTTTTTTAGTATCTGTAAATCTTGCTCACTATCAGTATAGTCTGTCTGTCTGTTTTCGACATAGAACTTTGCACATATGTGCGGCAGTTCAAATTGCCACACTCCATGTACCACACAAAGCAAGAGAAGAAAGTGGAAGAAATGCATATTAGAGACAGTAAGCAGAGGTGTGAGACAAAGGAATTGTATTAACGAAGAACAAAACAGGTTCATTGGAAATCATAAGTCACAAGGAGTGGATGCATCTGCGCCACTGAGAACGATTTTGAGCCATGTCACCAATTGTTTCCAACCATAGGTTTTTACCGTCCCGAGGACCTCAACCAGTCAGGAAGTCTACACCTTCCTACGTAGCTGGCTTAAATAACTGTTGTGGATTTCATTGACTGGTGAAGCCATGTTTTGGTTTGACCGCCACTAGCGAACTCTATTCCAGTCTCACAGCCATAAAGGAGGACGGAGCGGACTGATGAGCAGTACACCCGCCCTTTGGTCGATAGTCGGATATCACGTCTACGCCAGAGACGGCGTAAACTGGCAAATGCGAAACCAGCCCTCTGTATCCGTGCTGAGATTTCGTCAGAGATCAACCCGTTGGGGCTGATTTTACTTCCCAAATAAGTGAAGCGGTCAACGTACTCTATCACTTCACTTCCTATTTCTAATCTAGGAATCGGTGTAGTCCAGTCCTGTAACATCATCTTGCATTTGGCGGGAGCGAATCGCATGCCAAACATTCGTAGATTGCAGCCTGTCAAGGTGTTTAGAAGACACTGCATTTTTTCAGCGTCCTCGCCTAGAAGGACTATATCATCTGCATATTCTAAATCGACGAGTTTATTCCCTGGTAGCAAGTCAATCCCCGAGTCGCTGAAGTCACTTAGGGTTAAGTCCATTGGTACATCTATGATGAAGTTGAATAGAAAAGGGGATAATGGGCATCCTTGATGGACACCACTAGTCGTCACCAATTCAGATGACAACCCACCGTAAGCCCTCACCTGGCTGTATGAGTACGAGTAGAGTACTTTAATCAGTGCAGTGTATTTTCTCGGCGTTCCCTTTACAGCCAAACATCGCCAGAGAACCTCTCGGTCGACAGAATCAAATGCCGCCCTTAGGTCAATACAGTGAAAATTCTGAAATGGATGCCTCATATTTTATGTACACAAAATACTAAATAAGCTAAACAACTTAGATAATTTAGTCGGTTTGTTAAAATTTCATCACGAAATCCGACATCTAAAATTTAAAACTAATTTGATATTTAACCACTAACTTCTGCAATAATCACACAATATGGAAAAATAAGTAATTCTGTCCAAAATCGTATTTTTAAGCCTAACATTGTAAGTTTATCAGTTTCAAAGGAGCAACCTTTCTTTTACAGCATTTCACATTCGGATAAAATCATTCTATATAAATAATGAAAAAGATTAGTGCAAGTAAACCTTCACAAAACGTAGAGGACGAAGCGACTCGGTCAGACTGCGCAGGTTTACGCCCCTTGTGATAAGTCTTACAAGTCGTATATTATCCACCAGTGCCAATTATCCGGACAAATCTCAGAAGGTGGATCGATTGCGACACTTTAGCTAACAGTATATATATATATATATATTCTGCAATGTACATAAAATCGTCTGTGAATTTCTATGACTTCATAAAACTTGCAGGATAAAATGGTCAGAAGAGTTATATAATGGTAATTAATCCTGCACCCTGTAATATTCAGTTGTTTTCCTGAAAAGTTACCTAACTCTTTGACAAAATTAGTTCCAGTTGGCTAGGTTGACCTGATTCAAATTTCCTCATCTTTTTATTAATAAATGTTCCTTAAAACTTCTGGATTGTTCTATTTACAGACAATGAGAACAATTAGGACTTGGAATGATGATGGAATTGATCTTTGTGTTAAAAACACAACGGTGTGCAGTTGTCATTTAACCTTGACTACCGCATATTTTGTGAGCTTCCCTCTTTTTGTAAGTCTAACATTTTTACTTTGGAAGGATCCCAGTATGAGTTTAGTATAATTAATGCACATTTCACAGGTGACTCTGTGTTTTGCAGGATTCATTCGCCTACCAGTCCACCTTTAGAGCTAAAATGACGGGTGAAAAATCTATGATTCCATATCTTCATATTGTTATTATCTTTCCAAACTTCTTATGAAATATAGCTTCTAAGAGAATAACATCTGAACGTATATTTTAATGATGGGTAAGAGGTATCTCATCAGTTGATGTGTTGTTACGTGAATAAAAAAGTTTTTTATATACCAATAGGATAATAGGTAAAAGAACACAGTTACTTGAATTCATTCATGATTTGTGATTACCAGCATACAAATATGATAATATCGAAAAGAAATTAATGGTCTATTAAATGTAAAACATAGAGGACAATTTTATAAACGAACCCTATTCAGTTTACGTAGGTTATCTTTGTTTATTATTTTACCTGAATTAATGTAAGGAAGAAACAAAATGAGGATTTTCTTTGCCGTAAAGCTATTAAACGTCAGCAGATACAATCAGAGTTTCTTCAGTCGTAATATTGAACAATAAACATTAAGAAGTTATTCGTTTCTGTCAAAAGAACTAAATGTGCAGAAGAAAAAATATTGACTTTTATTCAACTACTGGACAACTTTGTAGAATACAATAACAAGGGTGTCTAACATTTAATTTCCTCAAGGGCTATCACAGCAAGACAAAAAATAACTTCAGGTAGTCCTTACCTGCATTCAAATGTAAAGCTGATCGTTCTACGGCTTTGGGCTGTAAAAATAAATCCCATCGTACACCTTCTACACCATGCATTTTGATTTTCTCAATACATTGTTGTAAATAGTTTAAATGATCAATAGGACGGTGATACATCAATCCTGTCATTAAACACTAAAAAGCAGAAATAGAATCAACGGAAATAAGTGCGTATCAGGTATTTTTAAAGTGAAAACACAAAGACATACTTTAAAAAAATGTGTTATAGGAAATGAGTGAGGTTTCTGAGAACCTTTTTATGAAAATAGACAAAACAACGAAACGTTTCTCCGGGATTTTCACTAAAAATTATATTTGCGAAGTTTTTCAAAGATATTTTATTAAATATCGACGGAACAAAAGTCAACAGTTAAATTTATCAATCCCAAACTAGAGATTTTTTGACTTTCATTGATGTTAGGGGATTATATGAAAACATAACGTCAGCAGAGTGATTATAATTTCATAAAAACGATACTGTGCTCAAAATGTGCTTGAAAATGTGTCAGATATAACTAACATATACTGATAACTAGTGTCAGCATAAATGACGCTATACAATAAACCCATCATCCACCAGTTACTAAAATTGGTAAGGGAAGAAATGTGAATTGCATCTGTCTTTCTGAAATGTTTTATCATATCGTCTTCCAATACACAAAGTGTGGGGATGAATCAGCTAATAAATCTGTATTGAAGTTTGTGCTTTTTAATTCACTACAAAAAGTGCATATCTCACAAAATACCTGTCTAATAATAACCTGGAACTCTTTAGAGCACTTTCGAATAATCATCGATTACAGACCTAGGTGTTTGACATTCAAGATGAATAAACCAACTTAAACATAACTTTGACCAGTTTTAAACAACCAGAGGAATGAATAGTGGTTTTTCAAGATCCCGGAAAAATGAAGTGTCTAAAAATATCCTATCAGAACAGTTCCTAATTAAATCCCTTTGAAAATTCCTGTTTCAGTAATGCAATAAATAAAAGTGGACGTATACTGGCAAAAAGGCTTCTAATCAGGTGATGCATTAATTTCATAAAATTTTCGTTAAGACAGTTAACTTATTATCAACATTCTACCAGAGAGTAGTCCCTTACTCCACCGCTGTTTCTCATATATACGACTCCCCTACTTGGTGAGAAAGGCAGTTTGTATATGCAACTGCATAACTTCATCATTCATTATTCATCAATTCATAAACACCACTAATTATAATTACAGATAATAAACTCAGCAGTATTAATTGTGGATAAAATTTACTTTGATAATATCACACATTGTTAGACAGTAATATTTACTGGTTATGTTTCGACCACAACTTATTGCTCAGAATCATAGCAAGGTACTCACTCAACTTTTATTCATCATTCAGTTCTTACTCATGTATATAATCAAAACGAGAAAGTATTATGAGTACTTTGATATGGATATTAGCAATAAGTTGTGCTCAAAACGTCATCAGGTAATATTACTTTGTAATACGATGTCACTTTATCAAAATATATTCTATTCTTAAAGGAATTATACTCTACTACAGAAATCAAGTTTTATTCTTATAGCATTATTATTTAGGCTTGATTTTCATAGTCTTAATTTGGGGCTGTGAATCCCGAATACGAATAACCTAGAGTGAGTAATTTGCTCAAACTCTCTTTGTTATTAGGACATGTAAGTACATTGGTTTTTAGATTGAGTTATATGGCTCAAAATCTCCACTCGTGAATCAACGAACCTCAAAAAGCTGTGGAATTCCATTTTTAACCAGATATTCCTTTGTTTCAACCATATCAACACCTGGACGTTTTGTCGTCATTTCTAATGTCCCGAGCAATAAGTTACATTAGAAACCGACTCATAAAAACAAATTTCAATATACAATTTATTTCCAATGTACAATATCGATTTTAACGAGCCAGTGTAGGAAAATTTGATTTTTTCTGCTCACTTCTTGGTTTCAAAATGAAGTTTGCTGGTCTTTGGTAAACTAATCTTAGTTCTGCCCACTACTTTAATGTCGTAGCTTAGGTTGAATTCAAAAGGAGTGGTGTTGGGATTAATTAAATGTAGTTTGAAGTATGTGGTGTTTTAGGGCCCTGTTTCTACGATGAATGGAGGTGATCCCTCCACCAGTTAAACACCAGGTATCAATGAAAAAAAGGATAATACTAACAAATATAAAGATTGTAGGTTATGTAGACTAAAAAAAGAATGAAAAGAAAGAAAACGTATAAAAGACAGCTACGAAATTTGAAACGTTTATATACATATATATTACGCATATATACATACATACACATAAACATAACATTACTAGTGTTCGGGTGGTAATGACTGGAGTAGACAGGAGAGTAAAACAAGACAGAATGGGAAGAAAAACGATGAGTTTAAATGTAAATCCATTAATAGTGTGTGAGATTTTAAGGGATGGGGCGATTGGACGCATTCCTTGTATCTCTGTATGATTGTTCAATCTTCGCTTAAAACTGTCCACGAAAGTTGCCTTATTTACACCGACTGGTAAGGAGTTCCAGAGACGGCAAGCTCTCAGTGAAAAGAAATCGGGGCGCACTAGATTCTTTGCCCTCTAGTAAACTATTCTTTCTGGGATTTCCACGAGGATTCCTGTATCCGCTCAATGGCAGAACACCTTTGTTCGGGTCGTTTCGGTCATATATTATCTTGGAAGCAGTAATCAAGTCCTGCCTAAGCCGACGGTAGCTAAGTGTGAATAGGCCTAATTTCTTTAGCCTCTCAGCTTACGGTTTATTTCGGAAACTAAAACCTTTTTTTGTCGCCAGTCTGTTGACTCTTTCCAAGGGTTTGTGTCTCTTCCAAGCAATGGAGAGGCAACGATATCATACACTTCAAGGTGTGGTCTGGAGTATGTTTTGTAGAACCATAGAAAGAGCTCAGGAATGACTGCACCTAACCGTATGTGTGTAAAGTGTATAACCGCATATGACCCCACTACATCCCTCATGTAATTCAAGCTTATGTCCAGTTTTTCCTTTAGAACAAGACCTAAGCCACTCCCTGACGTTGTGCAAGACAAGCCCTGGTTGCATAGAGTATAACTTGCATTGTGTGGTCTAGAGACGCGTAATTTCACGACTTTGCACTTTTTGTAGTTGCAAGTCATACCGTTGGCCGCCCCCAGTCTTCCAGAAGCTTTGGGTATGTCTGCAGACTGTCTAAGTCTCTCCAGCAGTTTATCATTCCTCGAATCTTTTCGGCGTCAGCAGAGAAAAGCTTGGTAGTTCATACAAAACTCTAAAACAGCAATGAGCCTAGGATAGAGCCCTACGACATTCCTGAATACGATGTGTGACAGGATGACGACCTCGATTGACCTTAGTGCGAAATTTCCTTTCACCTAGGTATTTCATCACAAAAATGGTCGGCCTGTACCTAACTTACTTATCTTGTGTAGGATAAGGTCGTGGTGAACTCTGTAAAATTCCTTCTCGACGGATGGGTAGAATACATTTACAGGAATATTCGTAACCCGGCATGATGCTCAATGGTTCGAAGTTGATAGGTGTTTTGTTACACAGCATCTGCCTCTCCTGAAACCATGTTGTGCTTCGTGATTCTATTAGTCATTTCAGGGTATTCGCTGATGTGATCATCAATTATACTCCTCAGTACTTTTGATACCTCTAGGAGTAGCCCTCCTGAAACTCGGGTCATTTCGGCTGTCCACATCCTTGAAGATTGTAGAAAGAACGGCTCTTTTCCACTTCCCGGCAGTTTCCCTGAATCCATCAGGTGTTAGAACAAGTCGCATGAGGGCCAGCAGAGGCATTCATCGCACTGTTTCAGAACACATGGCATGACGCCACCGCAACCTGCAAACTCCCCAGATGTATTACTTCCAGAAACTTTCCAGATGTGTGGCTTCCGTAGTACTATTGCCGGTTTCATTTGGATAGTCACTAGGTTTTCCTCCGGTGTAATAGTAGTGTCGCGCACTTTGGTTCGGACAAGTAACACCAACATCGCTGTTTAACTAATTGGTGAAGGCTAAGCTGAAATTTCCAGCCATCTCCAGACCAGTGAGATATTGACCGTTTGGGCCTACTAAGGCGCATGCCCACCGGTTGGTTGGTTTTTTCCCAATATGAATCGATACACGTTTTTGGGGTTTACTAGGAGATTTTCGGCAAGGTTAGCCTGGAATGACCTCCTGTCAGTCCTGACTCTCGCGTTGCACCTGCTCCTTAGTTCCGAGTATGCGTCTTGGGCGGATATCCGCTATGTGGAGGATGCCTTCCACTTTGCTTGCAGAATATGTTGCGTACCTATCTTCATCCATGAGGAACATTCCTTCGACTGTGTTGTGACTAAACGGACGGTACCGAGACTGCTGCGTGAATAATCTCTTTTACCACTTTCGAGTGTTCATCTACAGATAACTCATCCCATGCTTAGGGCCATTCTGCGTCGGACAAAAGCCCTCGCATTTCAGCATAGTCCACCTTGCTATAGCACAGACATGGTTTTGTAACGCCCGACTGCAAGTGCTCACGGAGAACCAGATCGAATCCTATGACTGCATAGTCACTACTTTCTATAGGAGTCACAATCTACACCCTTACGAAAAGTAGTTGGTCAATAGTTAGAACGTAATCCAGTTTCAATGACTTTCTTCTAAGGCCCCAGCTAGTGTCGTCTCCAACATTCTCAATCGGTCCTGTATAGATTTCGATTGAATTTTCCTGAAGCATACCCTGAGCCAAGGTTCAGTGATAAGGCATTGAAGTCTCCAGCTATGGTGATTTAGTCATAGTCCAAGTCCCGTCTCCCCGTGATGGTGCTGAGCAGTAGCTGGTTGTGCTCTGCTCCACACGTGGGTGATTGGTAGATGCCGCCCAGTAAATGCTTGGTATGGCGTTCAGTGAAACGACACCATATTGTGTCTGGGTATTCAGTAAGTGCTGATTCCGTTGCAAGTAATCATTTAAGTTACCTGCCGAAGCTTATAGCAACTTTCCTTTCCTTGCTGTCTCTGTCTCACCTGACCAGACCCATGTCACTTATTTTATCGTTGTCAGTAGTGAAATCAGCCAGGTTTCAGTTAGAATTATTATTTTGAGATGTTAGCGTGTCTGGAGGTTTCTG